TTCTCGACAGATTAATGAATATTAGCTATATAATATTGTTTATTGTGGCATTAGAGTTCTTTTCATATATATTTGAGCCTATAAAAAAGATTTTATAAAAGAAAACTTCAAAAGTGGGGTTAATGATCCAAAATAAAGAATTAGTCGCGGTCCGAATCGCATACCCGAAAGGTCCGCCAGTTGAGTAGCCCTGGCCTATATAGTCAAGAGGGCCAGCGAACGCCCTTAAATTCGCTCCAATTTTTTTTTTTTTTTTGAAAGAACTATTTGTTCTGCATTGTGAATGTGTAACATTTTGACAAAATCCGTTTGTCACGCTGTTACAAAAATAGAGTGTAATGGCTGATTATCGTGCAAATGCATTTAGACTTTTCGATTATAGAATAACCACAGATGTATTTTCCTAACCTGTGTGAGGATCACGAGACCGAAAACAACAAGCCCAACAATCATTGATACAAATATTGCCAAAGCAATCATTCCGCTTCTTACTGTTGTGTCTTCAGTATCTGGATTGATATAAGAATTTACTCATGAATATGAAACATACCGTAAACCGAAATTTCCGCGATTCTGTTACCAACAAGGGTTTCAGAAAATTGAATGATTGATGATCAATTGTTCACAAGGTGACGTTACGCCACGCGAGACTTGAAATAATATATTTCCACAAAGTAAAATAGCAATGATGAAATAGTCGAAAACGAAATAAACCACTTAAACTAACGTAAAAAATAGAAGTCGAAATACCTTTACGCTTATGTGGTTGATAAATGTTGTCATTTGCCGGCAAAGCGTTACTTCTATTTGTATTATCTGGAATTTCAGCGTAGAATCTCGTCTCGGCTGTAGACATCTTGACAGGTCGATCGGTCCTTCTTTAATGATTCTTCCCAAGTGTCCAACAAATATTGTTATGCCAGGCATAATAGTAGTTTATTACGACTTAGTCTTGTGATGGTTAAATACGTTTGCGTGGTGTAATCCTATGATCAAATATACCAAGATTGACAATCTTCGAATAAAAAACAGTTTGACATGAGTGACGTCAATTACTTAGACGTTTAACACGAACATTTATATATTCAATTGCTTATTACCCATTATGTGAACGCCAACGCATAACATTACTGATTTTGAAATCATTTTAATGCCTTCAGAACTTATGACTACATTGTTATCGAATCGTCGAGAGATTTGTTTGTATCTGCAAAGGCTGTGCCAGGTTTTTAGTTCGTCTTAGGAATGAGTCGCGTACGTGTGGTCAATTAAACAACGTTAACATTGAGTATATTCAGTATGCGTAGTTTTCGTGGGATTTCCAATCAACAAGGAGCTCATCAATACGATGCGTCAGTAGAATATAAGATGATGAACTCACAAAGCTGGACATGCTCATTTTCGCATATATACCGTGTTTCTCCCGAAAATAAGACCTAGCTAGTCGTTAGCAAGAAATGTCTCCTACACGTTTTAAAAATAATCTAAAACGCGTGAGAGAGGAAAGTGTTATTAATAGGTAAATGGATATCGGTTTTCCATATTTGAAAACCTCTCTACTTTAATTTTGTTTTTGATAAATAAAAATAAAGGACATCCACCGAAAATATGCCCTAGTGTTATTTCTCGAAATAAAATTGGAAAATTATGGAATTTTAGGATTCGTTACGATTTACCCTTTCCCCCAATTGTAATATCAACCTACGCATTATCGAATCTTTCTTCATGACATTTTGTGTCGCGTTAATATGCAAAATCCTGGTTGATAATGCCTCAGAAAGTATTTCGGGATCTTTTGTATAAAGATTCTTCATAAAAAACCACCGCCTCCGCTCAAAATTAAATGTAAATTATAAATATTTCAATTACATTTTTAGGGTGGGTGAAGGCTAAGAATCCAGATTGTGTCGGAAATTCAAAACCTCAAATCATTCTTAACTCGAACCGCAACTGGATAGTTACTAATTTGTTATTTCAGAACGTAGTTTTTTTCACATTTTGCATTAGCGATGAAGGCTTTGTACAAAAGATCCGTATTTCGCAGGCCTTCGTATACAAAAACCGTAAACGAATCCCTCTAATCACGATTAACTGATGTTTAAAACGTGGGCATTTTTTCGAGATCTACCATTGTTTTAATCATTGAGCAGAAGTTATAAACTTTTTATTACTTTCAAATATAACGTCTATCGTGCACAAAAATATCACATTTTCATAGAGTGAGATTACTCCTTCTCTATTAAACCGTTTGCCGATAAGAGAGCGTAACTATGCTACGACAATGGCCATTTTGATCTATTGTTAGAGGTATCGATGATCCAAAAAAATGTGTTGGAAATAGTGTTGTTACCAGTAATATGAATACGGTAACACTTGCCATCACGTTCTCTCTGTACAGTTCTTGGAGGTTTGTTACTTTATGCCAAACATACAGTGAATTACCTGAATGCTTCGTGGGCCGCACGAAAGTCCTTGGCGGGCCGCAGGTTCGTCACCTCTGGTTTAGGAGAAACACGGTAGTCATTTCGGAAAACACGAATTGTTTGAATAGTTAATTCTGGTGGCCACGATGACGATTGCTATTGTTACCAGGCTTATTTGTATTACTTACATGGCCAATTTAAAGCCGACAATTCAATACCGACACTTGATTAGAACATTTTCGTGCATGCTAATTAACTATATAAGCTACTCATTATTCACTGTTGAATTATCGTATTGCCATCTTAAGGCATCATATCGTACTGTACTGCGATTAAAGTGGTACTGTGGTAGAACGTTGGCTTTGACAATAAAGACAGTGACTCGTTAAAGTGTTTGATAGACTCGCGGGATTGGTGAAGTTTGAGCTGCCAACGTTGCGGTTAGTCGTTAAACGACAGGCGATGGGCTGTTGTCCACCAAACACCAACAAACAACAAGTCAAAATATCTGATACATGAAATCTTCTTTGGAAAGATTAAAATATTACCAATTCATTGATGTTTTGTGATAAACCCTATCTACGATACTCATACAGTGTGTGGAACGTAATTTACTTCGAGCTCGGATTGAATTTGCTTGACGAGCATTGCCTTACTAATGGATAGCAGCGTCAATTTATTGATATTAAATAGGTCTAAGTAGCGTATTAGTTTACTAATTTACTTATATATTTACGTCGAGGAATTGAACTGGCTACACATGATTATCTTATAGGCCTGGGCTACTCAACTGGCGGACCGCGGTCCGAATTCGGACCTTCCAAGTACTTGTTTCGGACCGCATCTGATTTTTTTATTATTTTAGATCATTATCCCCACTTTTAAATTTTTTTTTTCCTAGAATGACTTTTATAGTTTTAAATATATATGAAAAGAACTATACCAGCATAATAAGCAATTTTGGTTAGCTAATAATTATTAGCCGGGCGAGGTAGAGCGCGTTTAAGTATGCCGAAATATAATTTCCGGACCCGAATAATTTTGAAGTTTTGTATGCGGATCTTCGTAAAAATAGTTGAGTAGCCCTGATAGGCTATGGATGCGTATGATTAGCATATCGCGTCTACACTCTCTATAGATCTAATCAATTCGGTACAGCACGGTTCACTAAACTTCGTTAACATTCAAAAAATACAAAGTGGAATTCATTGGATATCGTGAAAATTCGCGCCATATCGGCGGAGAGACATTTATCAATCCTCATTTTTGAGAAGTGTTCGTGCAAATGCTTTGAGTAAATTTGAAACTTGTGAGCCAGAATATTATTTATCAGTTTACTCTCAAAAATAGATGTGATATGACGCTATGAAAGCATTTGCAATATTTTAGATGAATAGGAATAGCATAATATCATTCCACGAAAAAGCAAGAAATTTGTAAGTTTATGTTAGATCATACTCTAACTTCCTCCACCTTTTTTATCTCGAATATTTACCGAAATCTTTATTGAGACGACCACGTTCATAACAATGTTCGATGGAAGTTTTCTCGAGCATTGTTTTCTTGTTTGTGTCCGTAACAGTGAGCAATAAGTCAACAATGACGAAATAATTAAAATTAAGGCGACTTCTCAGTCACTCCTTTCGCCAGACAGATAATCAAGCCTGTAAAGTAAACCGGGGCTTCCCAAACTAGGGGCCGCGGCCCCGCAAAGGGCCGCGAAACGAATTTCAGGGGACCGCAAAGAAAATACTAATTTTACACAAGTACTTTATATAAAAAATGAGACAGTGTCTTTAATTTTTTTTTTTTTTGAAAAAAAAAACTTCAAAGTAGAGAATTACGAGATTTTTGAATATACAAAATATGAAACCGTTTATAAATAACACGTTTTTTATTCAAAATAACTACTAAACATAGATTATTAACCATTTAACACGAGTAAGAAATATTTCTTGTTATCGACTAGGTAAAAAAAAAATTCCTATCATATGGAGAAGGCCCATATTAAAATATTTTTTAAAATTCAGGCTAGATCTTATTTTCAGGGAAATACGGTAGAACCACCGCGCTTGCATAACAATGCCGGCTTTAATCGTTAAGCCATCGGTTTAATTTGAAAGCAGGCTTTTTTCGTGTAGGTGCGTCGTGAGTTTTTTCCCTGATAATTTGGCCCCACACGAACCGCTGCCTTGCGCTAAATTTGATCATTAAGAGTGAGTAACAACGCCGGAGAGGGATCATGCAGTCGGTGGCCAGACATCGTAATTCATTTTCATTTGGGCCTGCATTAACAAACATTGAGCCACGGCTGGACTTGTTATGCCGCGAAAAGAATTCGCACCCATCACACCGAATAATCGAGTAACCTTAATCTGAGTAAATGTGTGTTTGTTTTTGTTATTGAATAAGCCTACCAAAAGCTCAGAATTAACTATGTAAATTAGAATCAAAAACGCATATATCGAACTGTTTAGCATTATTAACTTGAACAGGGGCCGCGAAAAATGTTAATATATTGAAAAGGGCCGCGAGCTCAAAAGTTTGGGAAGCCCTGGTGTAAACAATGCCCCATTTCTGTGGTTTTGCATGTTATTTGTCAGTTTTAGCTGTTTTTCCAAATATTAGTTGTAAATTAAGTGTCAATATATTTTCTAAGTAGCTACAGGCGCACTAATAAAATACTAATTGCATTGCCGGCTGTGCAGAGTTGTGTCGAGCAGTTATCGAGGTCATCAAATGATATTCACCACGGATCTGCTGCAATGTGGATACAACTGTTCGATATTAAATATGGTATGTAAGCATTTATATTTTTATTTTACTTATTATCAAAAAATAATTAACGAATTCCCATTCAAGTGCTTTATCGTCGTCAACCCAGGTAGTTTTGGTTGTAAAATAGTCATAATACTGGAAAACTGTATTCCTAGTTTGGCATTGCACATTAATATGCCATATCATAATATTTCCCGTTATAGGGTTATTGCAATAAGGGTACACTTGCGGTTGATGTATGATTTCTGTATATTTCTATGACAAATAAGTAATTTGCAGACTGGATTCGATTTATAATGCTTTTTGAGCCCTTAACAGGTGGGTTGTCACGCAAACATTTTTTGTGGCAAATTTGATTTTATATAACTTTTTAAGATTTTTGGCGTTCACCGTTTACATGAAAAGAAGAAGTCCGTTTGTGAGACTCGAATTTTTAAAAGTCAACCCTGCCGAAATCGAACGCAAATTGGTATTTCCCGTTGATAAGGTGAGAACTCGTCGGCATAATTTTGCATTGGGTCAGTAATTTTGCATTAGGTCAAAGGCAATTATAGCGTTCTGTGTACTTATTTTACACCGAGTGCTAGTTCTATTGGGAGGTGCATTTGGAAACGCTTCAGAGGTTTGAATACATACCGATATCTTGGAATAATATCATTATATTATACGAAATTACAATAAACTCAACTAATGGAGGTCAAGATATACTCGAGTTCTGTGCCGGACCTTTTGCTGTAACATATTTCCCAGTGGTATAACGTATACCAGGCTATTTTTTTTTATCTCAAATCATCTAAATTTTATATTCCATGTGTGTTATTATGCTTTCTTGATCCTGCAACTAGTCTTTTTGTTATAGTGGCGCTATATAGCCTATAGACTGTATTAGAATTAGCATAGTATATGTGCTTTCAAACACTGGCGAATGGGATATGTAGTTCGTGGTTTCAGCAGAATTCACGGTGATGGATCTGTCCCAAAGCGAGAAACAAGAAGTAAACTATGGATCAAATTTAGTAACCTGTTCGGATGTCTTCCTGGAACTAAAAGAAGTCAAAGGATCGTCTCAGCCTTGAAATTATGTTGAAACCTATGCAAACTCCTGCTCACAGACCGAAAGAACAATACCTGACGCAGTTCATCAAATCAGTTTTTATGTCTTGTTATGTTTATTTATCTTTGACATTTTATTAAAAGTTTTCATCATATGTAATTCATTAATGCCAATAAATGTTTTCTCACGAATCTCTGTTAGTTGATCTGTGTCGTTAATAGCAGTGTGAACTGGAAAAAATGAGGTATACAAATTACATTGATAGAACTGGCATGAAAGAGATCAGAATAATATCATCAGACGGTATAATAATGTTCAGCATGAAACAGTAATAATGTGAAATGAATAAAAAACTGAATTTTATGTCGCTTTTGGCGCTAAGACACGCAAGTTTTCCCTTCAGCAGTCAAAATATTACATCGGCACGGAAAAACCGAAATGGAAACACAAAGATGGAAAGGACTTAAAAAAGGGAGGAAGAAGTGTTTATGATTATAGCGCTGAAGAGCTTCGTAAAATATGGTTTAGTATGATAACAGGGGAGACGCTCTTTTATTTTTGTATAATCGGGGTAGAACCCTGCGTCGGTCGGCACCATCCAATGGTGGTGCAAGAAAAGAAAATATCTAGATCCGTGGTTCTTTAACTTTTTGAACCACGCCCCCCTCTGAAAAATTTCACAAACTTCGCCCCCCCCCCTCTTTTTGCTTTGAAAAAATGCTTTTGTGATGGACAAGTTGTTATATATTAAGATGGCGCTATAACTGAGTGTTGGTCTCATAGCGTCAGTGCTCAGATTGTTTAGGCATAAAACGCTTTGGAGTACAACTTCGCCATTCACTGTCGTATGTATAAAGCAGTGGCGGCGCGTGGTCATTTTGACAACCGGGGCAAGCTACTGCGGGACCAAGTCACCCCCATCTACGGGGACAGGATGAGCGCTGTAAGTTCTCCCATCATTTTATGAGTATAAAAACCATTCCATCGGTAACAACCAATCTGCAAAAGCGACAATTTTTAACGATAAGAAAGTGTCTTTAAAACCGGGCCAAGTCAAGGGATTAATAAATATAGACATAGTTTATTTTGAAACCTCTTTCAAAAGGAAAGGCAATATTTACCCAGATAAATACAATGACATATTAATAGAAACTTCGGGAAAGCAGACAAAACCTAAAATAAGGTTTAAAACGTTACTATGAAGAAAGGAAAGGTAATGCAAAGATAAGGACATGCGTCGCTCACTCATAGATATATATGCTGCTAGACTTCTACTGCTTGAACATATATGCAACACGCCGCGGTTTTTTGGAAGCAAAATGCTCAATAACGTGCTGATTAAAGTCATGCATCCCAGAAATGACGTCTCTGCGGATGGTTAAAACAGCCAAGGAATTTAATCTATCTTGCTTCATTGTGTTTCTGAGATACGTTTTAATACGCTTCAGCGTGCTGAATGTTCGCTCTGCGTCGGCGGAAGAAATAGGCGTCGTCAAAATGATGTTCAGAAATTTTGCAGACGCCGCAAAGGTAGTTACTAGAGTGTTATCTATGAGGAACCCATAGAGCGCGCAAGTTGATGTGATGTTCAAAAAAGTTTGATTGGTGTATATACATCGCAATTCATTTTCCAATTTACCCACGTTTATCATGGGGTAGAATTTGGAGACAGTAGCCAACAAATGGATGGGAAATTGACGTGCAAATTTTGAAAAATTTTTGGAGTACATCAAAGAGAACGCGGCAAGGTGTTCAGTGCGCAGACGATCGCCTATTTTATTCACCAGAATGTCACAGCATTCCTTTGCAGACAAAATCAAACGCTGCGTTGTTTGCCCGCGGCGTAAAGAAGCACTCCATGTGTCGTCGTATTTTATTGTTTCCCGGATACGAGATACAGCATCGCAGAAGTCTGAAATACACGACTGCACAGACGCTCCATCCATTAGCCTTGACTGCAATGCGCCGTATAATACATCCACGTGATAGAATATTGTGGAGGAAAAAGCGAGAAAAAATGAAAAACTCACCATCTTCTAGCACATAGGTTCTCAAAGTGCTCCGTACGGAGCCCCAGGGCTCCGCGAGAGAAACCCAGGGGCTCCGCGAGCTATTCGATTGCTCTTCAAAATACTGACTCAAAATTTTGTAACTGTTCAAAGAAGCAATAACAGCTTTGATAACATCTGACAACAATATAGCCTCGAAATATGGTAAAGGGCCGGAATTAAAAAATGACATTATTTATGAGCAGTAGCGCAGCCGGGATTCTTAAGAGGGAGGTGGTTCAAAATTGGAATCGGAAATTTCCGCGCAACATATTTCGCGATTAAAAAAACGGATAACGAGATTTCTGTTGCGTAAAATATTCAATCCAAGACCGATGGAGCATTTAACGTGTCTCGTCGGTATAATGTAGTTGTGCTCATCGTTTCTCACGTTTGATTCGAGATTACTATTAGGATTACTAAAATGAAAGAATACTATTCTAAAATAACATAAAATATGTGATGAACTGCCAACTATAAATAAATTGGTGTCGTATTTTTGCGATTTGTCAAACTTGATTTGTTCTTTCGCACTTGAGATTATTTTTAAGCAAGATATCGCTGTTTAAAAAATCACAATGTCTGGGGAAAATACGAACAATTGAAAATTATTTTATTGCATTCAGCTCCGTCGGTAGTTTCAGAATGAAAAAAGGTACATCGCGGATCGCGCGCACCATTGATTGCGTGCGGCTGCGTCGGTAGCTTCAGAATGAAAAAAAAAGGTAAATCGCGCGCACAATTGACTGTGTTTCGATTTCGCAGCTACTACGATGAAAACCTAACATAACACCAAATTTTGTGATTTACAATGTCTATAGAAGCGTTTTCAATCTGAGGTGAGTCTGCTGAAACCAAAGTGTGATCTTCCATTTTAAGTTTCAGTTTATAAATATTTTAGAATGCCGCTTTTCAATCAAGAAATTTGAGTTGTGGATTTACCTTTTTATTGATTATTATTTTTAGCATTTCGTCGCCGATGACTATAATATGGTAACATGTTTTTCACATTGAACTCATAATTCCCCACGAGAACAAAAAAGCAATTAACGTCGTCATTGTGTAACAATACATGTATATGCCGAGGGAAATTTTTGATTTAGGAAGAATAAACAGCGGCGTAAAGATGTTTAAAACACGCCATGCTGACGGAAAAAAATCGGCGATTGTAACAAAATGAAATAGCGCACGTTACTAACGGCCTTTCAATTAAGTCTTCCAAAAATGTCAAAAAAGAAAAGATTCGATCCCTAATTTATTAATATGTTCGTCAAGTGTCAAATTTACAGCTTTAGTATAAAATTTAGATTTATTTATGACTTGTGTTAACCCTATTAAAAAAGGTTCAGCATTTAGAATAAATAAAGTACTTTTAACTTGCTCGGGAATAATAATCTGAAAGTAACAATTTTAAAATTTATTTTGGGGCTCCGCGAATAATATTCAACCTTTCAAGGGCTCCGCAACACCAAAAGTTTGAGAACCCCTGTTCTAGCAGACGCTTTAGACCTGCCGCCTCCCTCACAGAGCGTTCGTCCCAAACCGGAGAGCTCTGAATGCCATTGAAACACTCAATGAGCTCAGACCTAATTTCGGACACGCCCTGCACCAAGCGTGATTGGAAGTTCCAACGTGTTGGTGCACAAGCTGGGAGACGGCGGCTACATATCTGGCGAAGGAGGTCAGAGCGCTTCGGCGAAACGTAAGAAATGAAGAAAACCCCGAAACATTTGCAAAAAATATACGGACGAGAGGAGTATCAAGACACATATTTTTAATAACGAGGTTAAATTGGTGTGCATAACAATGTAAAAAATGCGCATGAAGAAAATCTTCTTTTATATAAACTTGAACACCATGTTTCGACCCACTCATGACTGCCGAGCTATCAATTTTGACTTCGCGTTGTAAGGCTGTAACACTTCTTTCAGTACAGCCGATATCCCGCAAGCCGTGCGATCAACGATTGGTACAAAGCTGTGAAATCTCTCGGTAGGTTTACCATCTTTCACAAACCGAAAAATCACAGCCAGTTGGGAAACGCACGTGATGTCAGTTGTCTCGTCAGACTGAATCGGAAGGAACTGGCAATTCTCAATTTCCAGAGCCAAATGTTGTAAATAAATTTTATACATTGAGTCGAGCAAATCATTTTGGATATCCTTAGATGTCCCTTTCGAAACAGTTGCGGCATCAAGATGATCTCTCAATACTGTATCTAGGGATGCGGTGTATTCCACCATATCCAAAAATAGCCCTCTATTAGAAGAGCCAGCCCGTTCATCGTGCCCACGGAGGGACAGCTCGTGACAACCAATGAACTTCAAAACATCTATCAATCGACCGAAAACATGGCGGTTTTTCTCGACGTTTTGGTTGTTCCGACGAATAGAAACCGCGCGTCCCTCATCCAACTGTGCTGCAATATTAACATTTCCGAATGTTCGGTATTTTACTGCATTGTCCAGATGCTCCATAGAAGATTGATGATCCCTGGCACGCTCGGAAAGATGTTTAAAATCTCTAAAACCAAATTTACACCAACGTGAGTCACGGGCGGTAGCAAAAAGTAGGCAATAAAAACAAAAAAGTGCATTTTTGTGCTCGCTGTAACACAACCATTCTTGTTTTTTGTACCAAGTTTCTGCGCAGAATGTACGCCGACGCTTTCCTCCGTCATGGGATTGTTGTCAATTTCTTGGTTGATAAGGCCCAAGACGTTGTACCTCTAATTTTTGTTCCAGCGGCAGCTGCGAAAACGGAGTGCGAAGTAGTGCATCAACCTTATTCATTATGAGGTCTAAGGCTAAGAAATGCAAAGAAGTGAGGAGCTCAAAAGGAATGTGGAAATTCGAAAGCAAATGGACTAAAGGTCTCTAACTGATTCAAATAGCGAAACAAGCAACAAAAACGAAGGCGAGGAAACTATCAACTCTTCAAGCAACCAACGAACGAGAAGGAATGCGTGAATATGTCAACACGTTGTTGTAAGAAACGTCGGCATTGTGTCGTCATAATTTCGGGGCTAGCCCCGATGATTTAGTAAAAGAAACAGAAAACAAACGAGACAAACGCGGCGAGTTGAAGATAAAAGAGAGAACACGATATACAATGAGCAACCGGGGCAAAATCGGCGTCGCCCCGTCGACGTTCGGCGAAGGCTTTGCGAGCGAAAAATGAACCATGTCGGGAGGATATGGCTAGTGTAGACAGTCTGTGCAACCGATATTGAGGTATTTTTCGAATATTTTTTATTATACCGAAAAAACAACCGGGGCATTGCCCCGGTTAGCCCTATTGACGCGCCGCCACTGGTCAAAGCCAAATAGTGGTTGGTCATCATACATCCTCGTTTTTCCGCTGAGTTTGCAATACTTGGCAAAGTCAAACTAATCATTAAGTAAAACTAAACAAGCAATAAACCTAGGCTTTAATGTATTTTCTGCTTAAACATTTAATTAGGACACGTAAAATTTCAATCAATTGTTGTCGCTAAGGCGTTTGCGATTGCATTTTGTTTATATCTCCTTTGTTTACGTCAGCGTGGCGTGTTATTTAAGCCCTAGAAATCTTGATTTCGTTGTTTATTCTTCCTAGATCCGAAATTTCCCTCGACATATTCTTGTGCTGCGAAGACGATTATAATTACTTTTTTTTGTTCTCGAATGGAACCATGACAGCTCTGAGGAAAACGAGTTGTTATGTGCTCATCTTTGCACTTATATCGTTTCAATTTTGCAAAAAAATGTACCGACCGTTCCGTAAATTTAAAAACGCCTAACCATATTAGGTATTTAAAATAAATTTCCCAGATTTTAAACTCCGCATGCTTGGTGACATGTCATTAGCCATTTCTTGCATGACCCGAACATAAGATTGATTAAAATGAAATGTTGAAATTACCCTTCAGCGTTTCATTGTGAAAAAGACGATTTTAGGTCGTTAGAAAACTGTTATATAAATAGCAGGGATTTTAATATGACCAGTCAAAGTTTTTTCAAAAGCTGGTATGAGTTACTTATATGAAAAACACTCATTAAATTGTAAACATATAAGAAATGTCATGTCCTACTCCCTTGAGCACTTTGTATTAGCTCTTTAGTGATCCCTTCCATCCTTGGCAAAGTAATGTTTCGAATATGTAATTATACTTTACTCGACCATGCATGGCCGTTGAGCCGAGAGTAGAAGGTAAAATCAATTGCGAATTTCGTTGTAACACTGCACACTGACTCCTTCACGAATTGTTGCGTCTATTATTATCGAAAATGATTAGAATTGTTAAATTTTGACGACGCTCTGGATCCCTGTTATGTATAAAAAAATATTCATTATTCGACTATTCGGTATTCGTTGGAAATTTTCAAATTATTCGATTCGAAAAAATATTCGATATTGCCCACCCTAGACTAACAGCCATTTAATTTGACTTTGATTTATAATAAGTTTGTAAAAGCGGGTCGTAATCGTGGAGGATGCGAGGTGCAGTAGCTGGTTGAGATGATCGCGCCAGTTGATCGGCAGATATTTCGAGACTATTTTCAATTACTAAAACGAAATCAAAAATGCTCCAGAAACTAAAATAATCATTGAGGTATTTGATTTGTACATATATTATATAATATATATGTCTTATATATATTCTTGGATAAATAGTCTACGCTCGAGATTTCGTACAAACAGGCATGTCGCTTAAATCAATGATAATAAGGAGGCATTTCCAGGCGAGTATTGCACAGACAGACGCCACAAAAAGCAGAGGCCGGCATCTTCGTGCAAATTCCGATAAGTTCAACCACCTAAATTTTACAAACATCGACAACTTGAGTACAGGCTAATATTTTAGTAGGACATAAGCATCGTTCATCAGGATAATTAAGTACATTGGCCAATATCTCTGGAAAAACGCGAGAAATGTTGATATTGCAAATATAACAGTGTAGATATTCATAGAAGTATTTTTTGGCGAACCAGGTCTTTCATTATTTAACCCAGACCAAGTGTTTCTCAAACTGTGCTGGAAACCACTTATGTAGTGAGTGGTTTTCTTCAACAAAATAATACTAGGTATAGAGCTCAAGTATTCAGACCTATCGACAAATAATGAAAGCTCGCCTATTCACCTACATAGCGATGCATGGAATAGAACCTTGTAACTATTTTGTTGATTTTCCTATTGTGGTTGGGTGGCAACTCTGTCGATGGAGGTGAAAGTCTTGAATCATCAGAAGGCGAACTGAAGTGAAACAATCAGAATATGTTTTTAAAATCAGATACTTGAAGGCATTCTTACGCAACGTCTAGTTACGAACAATGATAAACAGACAAAAACCAATTTACACTCGAAAATTTGTATGCAACTTAAAATGAATCCTATATTATTAATTTTGAAGACTTTTCATTGCTGACTTGAATTATTTAAGCTTTCTTGGTAACCTACTCATACAGACAAAACTTTATAGCCTATAGCTCTTTGCGCAGTTTTGGTCGCCTGTAAATCAATGTCAGTTCTGTAATTCTTTTCAGCTGAAGCATGCCAAACTCGATTTTTACATGAAAAATATAATACTTCTTTTCATTAATCTCATGGACATAGCATTTCAAATTCTATACTAAGAGTAACCAACAACTTCCGATTCGGAAGTTATAGAAATATGAAACTATATTCTTCATCAGTTTATACAAATAGCCATGAAGATAGTATAGACTTCGTATTGGGAATTCAAATGCCATGATGGTGATCGCTGTGACACGTTTCATACAAGATTGATGCGAAATTAGTAAATTGGAGGCCGACTGGACCGAATCTTGTTGAATGGTAACGACTGATAAGCGAAAGTGAAAGATATCGCTCTTATGCAAATTACCTATAATTTTCTTATATGTCGCATGTTCTAGGTGGAAATGACATCTACACTCATGGTCTGGTAAATAAGTTCCGCAATATAGGTCGTCCAATGCATTACACTAGGGGTCACAGTAGTTCGCCTGAAAGGGTCTATACATTGTCAAATTTAATCTTTTCTCTCAAATGAATTCTCAAGCTGTCAATGTGCCATTTTATTTAATAAAAGTTAACACACTCCTGCCTCAAATTGACAATCAGGAAAGAGAATTATTTACACGATACGTGAAAAACATGCACAATTAATCGATTTTTAACACGATAGCAAAGAGTAAGACAAATCATCAAATTAAATACATGTCTTAAATTAAAAGATGTCGATTCTACGTAACTATGATAACACAACAGACTGTAAGGAAGATATTGCAATGACATATTCAATTGAAATCTTAGTAAGTAGTCTTTGTATTCCAGTTCATTTGGAAATTATGTTTTCTTTCGAAACTTCATCTCACTAAATCTCAGAGACTGGCGATTAAATTTCCAGTGATACCAATTAACGGAATGTGTATTATCTCGCCCGTCTTGGTAAAAAATCCCATTCAAATTCGATTTATGACAATTATTGTACCACCAAGCCCCACTCCAAGCGATTGCGCAACTGCCCCACGACCCTCGGTCATTGTCAGAATCTTTTGTAGAAAACTGCATATTGTTATGATATGCCAATGAATCACCAGCTGATCCAGAATATCCCCTAACAGTCAATCGATATTTATCAGTTGCAGATGAGATTGAGAACGTCCTTAAAACAAACAATGAAGGTCGATTCAATGATATTTCTAGCAGGTAAAGTGAACATTTAATATAATATCTCGTTTGATGTTAATATTGGTAATATAAGATATAAATTTGAAGAAATGCATTTTTGTACGTAAGGACATCGCGCACAATATCTGTAAAATTAGATCCTGATTCAACTTACTTCGCACTAATACCAACTGCTGTATGACACGTGACTCAAATTTTGTGACGTTGGGGGAAACTTGGTTTCCAGTCAGTGAATATTATTTCAGTTTATATGCGGGGGAATTAGCCGAATGATTGAATAAATAATACTAATCGATGCAGGTCATTATATTCGATGACGATTGCATTATATTCAATCATTATTCGAGCATTTATTGTTTAGTCTTAAAATCTATAATGATGAACTGTATTTTATTACTTACCCATATTTAGCATAAACAGTGTTTCCATTAAAATCTTCCAAATCAACTCTTAGTTCGTAACTTGCTTTTTTAGTCAGTTGATAGATTGTTTCCAGGCCTTAATTAAATGAGAAAATGTAAAACATATGATCACTTTGATAATTTGAAAAAACATTTAATCGTCGAAATGCGCTGCACCAACCTAGCCACATTTCTTTATCATTTTCTCCGAATCCATTGACATAGTCGTTCCATCCTCTGTAGAAGTCTTCCGTTCCATCCATTCTTCTTTGGAACACCTTGGGAATATTACAAATGCAGTTACAATGAAAAAACAACCAACAAATGATTTTATCTTCATAGCCGTTGCCCCGGACCATAATGTTTGTTTTAATGTTATATAAATATGTCATGCTTTTCTGCAGACTCTTCATTTTTGTTTTTGCAAGGTCTAACTATTTTGCGGATGAACAATTTTCAATTTGCATTATAAGACACAATCAAGAGGCTCTATCAAAATATATATTTTGATTTTTCCTCATCCGCCAGGCTGCTTTTTGTCGAGTTGCCATTTCAATAAATAACCGATCCGGAATATTGAATCTTCTTATTTAAAAACTACACTACTAGGTAACGTGTTTTGAAATTATAAAAAAAAAAGAGTATAGCCATTTCGGTTACGTGAAATCAATAAAATCATCATATTAAGAAGTTATTAGACGGTTATTACATACAATCCATCCGCCTCCTTCCGTTACAATATCGCAGTAGACTTCGACAGGTTTGGTTCTTGAGTCCGGATAAATATCAAAGACTCCACCGGTGGTGTTCTGAATTTTTGCATATTTACGATTTACAGTTGTGCAGTCTCTTAGGATAACTGTAAAATAAAATGAATGCGGAACTGTAAAGAAGTGCAAAATATCGTTTAGAAATTCGTCTACCAAAGTGACAAAGCGGTAAGTACCGTGACAAACCTGTAGCCTATTCCATGCAATATAGCCCCATATCTTATGATTAATATTGAAAAATATATTCAACCTACGTTCTTGTATAACCGATTTCATGAATTGTTGGTGAGAATGATCCAAACTTGAAATATCTTCAACTGATTGATTTATTCGAATCTGATGTTCATTGAGTCTAAAATTAATCACGTCTGAGGCTGTAAAAAACACGTGTTATGATTATAGGTCGTTCATTGGTTTGCAGTGCATGCAGATTGACGCTTTGGATGACCAAGTGGGCAAAAATTACTGACTGCAAAACGTTAATCAAATTAAGATATAGAATAAAAGCTATTGATAACACACACACACGCAGTCGTAACTGTTAGAGCATTTTTATGAAATCATAGAAACTAAAGTAACGTGTTGTTTGTTACTTTGATAGCAATCGCTATAACAAAACGATTTACGCATACACATGTTTAAAAAAGTGTGGAAAAGCTGCGTCCGCGTGAAAATTGAAACCCATCCAGTACATTCACGATCACATCCCTGATAATATCTCAATTGGATTTATTTTTCAGACCGTTGTGTATAAGTTTTCCTGTTCAATTTATTCAGAGTCTAATTTCCAAATGTATTTTCCAAATGTTCTGAATCTTTGTGTTTGATAAGTCGAACCATTTTTAAAACAGTAAAATTACCATTTTGTTCTAGCCATTTCAACCTAGCAAATGACTGGTCTCCTTGACGTGCCAATTGCTCTTTCATAATTCTCATCTCACTCTGGAGCTGTTGATATAAATAAATCGTTTTAGTGTTCACATGTAGTTTCAAGAATCAGAGAAATTGAATAGTTTCGGCTTTTTAACCACCGAAAGTCGGTTCATTGTAGGAAAATTTCAAGAGCATTAAACTCGCTACCTAAAATATGCTCACCCCCATTGAATTGAATACCATTATTTGCGGTTCATGCCATACAGAACATCATACCCTTCAATTCTATTTTAGGACATTAAATCTGGTCTATTCAGTTTAAACGAACCATTTTTAATTCTTGAAGAGGTCCCCAAAAGTTTGCATTAGTTAGTGCTTTAAACTCTTCATGTACTGTATATACAATCTTCCACTACATTCGTGAAAAAGGGAAATTTGACTTTGGTTGAACAGCTTTGTCGTTTATTCAAGAAAAATAGAGGTTTTGCTATCACGTTTTGCAATTTATTATGCATTGTGAATTCTTATCATTTTAACAAAATTCGCTTGCCACTCTGTTGATGAAATGGTTTGTAATGATTGTTTATTATACAAGTACATTCGCACTTTCCGGTATATTATTGATAGAATAACCGCAGATACATTTCCTAACCTGTGTGTTGATCACAAGACCAAAAATCACAAGCCCAACAACCAATGATAAAAATATCGCCTGAGCAATCATTCCTCTTCTTACTGTTGTGTCTTTAGTATCTGGAATGATATCAGAATTTACTCGTTAATAAAAACCTAAATCGATCCTGTTATTAACAAGAATTTAAGCAAATTGAATGATTTATGATAAATTGTTCACAATGCAACGTGAGACATGAAATATTATACAGTATTTCCTCGAAGTAAAATAGTACCTGATGGCGGAAACTAATGGCACCACATTACCAAGTTATAAATAAAAATACCTTTGTGCTTTTGTGGTTGAACGCGCGTCGTTTCATAAATATTGCCATTCGTTGGAAAAGCGTTACTTTTATTTGTATTATCTGGAATTTCAGAGTAAAATCTCGTCTCGGCTGCAGACATCTTGACAAGTCGATCCGTTTTTTCAAACGAGTCTTCCTAAGTGTTCGACATCAATAATTTGTATGCGAATTATATAGGTGTTTAATATGACTTATTCTTGTAATGATTTGATGATACATTCGCGTGGTGTAATCTTATGATCAAATATAACATTTGAAACTTTGAATAAAAAAGTTTGTCATGAGTGACGTCAATTCCTTAGGCGATTAAGACAAACGTTTATATATTCAATTGCTTATTACCCACTATACTGTACTCGCTACTGATAACATTACCGATTTTAAAATAATATTATTGCTTTCAGCACTTGTCGAGTAGTCGTCGAGTGATTTGACTGTATATACAAAGGCTGTGTCATGAAAGTTTTTAGTTCTTATTTGGAATAAGTCACCCACCAAGTCGTGTGGTTGATTAAACAACTTTAACATTTGGGAATATTTAGTATGCGTACTTTTGATGGGATTTCTGATCAACAAAGAGCTCATCAAATACGACGCGTCAGTAGAATATAAGGTAATAAACTCACGAAGCTGGACATGCTGTTACCGTTGCGGTTCGTCGTTTAACGACAGGCAATATATATAACCTATGTAACCAACCAACAAGACAAAATATACTTTGGTACATATACGCTTTCTGAAATCTGAGACATGAAATCTCCTTTAGAAAGATTAAAATATTACCAATTCAGTGATGTTTTGCGATTAAACCCCATCTATGATACTCATACAGTATGTGGAATGTAATTTACTCGAGCACGAATTGAATTTGTTTAACGATCATTGCCATACTAATGAATAGCAGCGCCAATTTATTAATATTGAAAATGCTTACATGGCGTAATAATTTACTTACATGTCTACATCGATTTATTTAACTGGCTACGCATGATTTTTTTTATAGGCCATGGATGCCTATGATTTGGCATTTGCATATCGCGTCTACAAACTCTATGGGTCCAATCCATTTCGGCTGAATAACAAGTAACGCTGACCAAAACAATCGGCTATTTTATTAACAACATTAGCGCTGTGGATTGTCATCAATTGTGCATTTTCACCGACGATTGTTGGTCTCAAAGAGGGTTACTAGTACCCAGCAGAGCTAATGCGTCGTACTATTCTGCATATCCACTTACCGAGGTACCGAAAAAGAACTCCCGGCGACGTCGCAAGTTCTGAATACTTTAAATTATGATTAACCGAAATAGGAAAAAACTATTCGAATACAGCTCTAAACGAAACGAAAACGATAGGGAGGGCCATAATTTTATTCCGATTTTACTTATTTTAGTTGTAATACGAGTTGGGAGACTGTCTGTGTTTACCAAGTGAATATACTTCCCGCCAATCCCGTCCATAGGTTTTAGTCTCTTTACACAACTTGATGTGAGGTACGCGAACAAAATTGGTTTCTTTAATATTGGTACACACACTTCTGGAGCGCAGAAATAACTAGCTGTACCGGTAGAATTATAATTTTACACCTGTAAAATATAAATACAACTAAATTAATATCATATTTAATCGAAGAACGTAATGCATTAAACAACCATAGCCTATAGACACATAGAGAGTTAAACGAGAATATCGGTTGGAGACCGAAGACTTATCGATCGAAACTGGGTTTTCGATTCATGACTCTATAGTGACACCGCGTGTACCATCGCTAATTGATTAATAACTCGCTAATTATACGACATAATTTATTGCAAAATTTGGAGCAGATTCAACCAAGCCTTCTTGAGATATCGCGTGCATCTAACAGAAAAACAGACAGACAAATATCTATCAATATAGTTACCGATCTAAAGATCGATAAGTAACAACCAGTTAACTGGAAGTAAAGAATGAAAACAGTCGAGTTATGGTCGATAAATTACTGATCAAGCACTCAAATGTAATTCAAATACAATGAAAACAACATTTCAAATGTTGAACATAACCACCAAGATATGATGAAGAATAACCTTCATTCATACCTATTACGAATAGAAATAAGCATCAATCAAACAGTGAATAGACTACAAGTATAAGTATAGACTGGTTGTGGTTGCAAAAATATAAAAAAAATAAATATTAAATTATGCATTACCAAACAAGAATTTAGTTTAATTGTGTTTTATTGAGTGGTGGTTTAACCAACAAAACTACCAATGTTTAGCGCGATAACATACATAACAAGAGAGCAATGCTCAAATATATGGACACGCAGAACAATTCCCCAAAAATCATATGCGGTGACATACCAGTACCTGTATCTGGGTACCGTGACGGTACAGGGACTGTCATAGATATTTTAGGTCCTGTGACAATGATCCATTCTACTTGATTATATTAAAACATCAATTGAAATATCTCGTGATATGAGTCAATTATGTACCGTAATACAGGATCAGGTACCGAACCACAGTCAAACATTTCACATGAAAACGTTACTAAATAACATGCGTCAACTTAATCCCACCTGAATCGGGGTATAAATTTTGGTACAGTGACTAGGGCTGATGGACAATTCGACTAAACGGACAACTCTCCAGGCCTATCTGTAGTCGAGTTGTCTATGGTGAGTTGTCCGTGTGTAGTCGAGTTGTCTGCCTCCCATTTCACATGTCCCGTGGCAATGATCTATTCTTCTCCATTTAATTGCAACATGAATTGAAATATTAAGTATTCCGTTTCATTCCCTTCTCCATTATTGGAACAAATTTCAAAAAATATCTCTTCCCAGATAGGTATTCACATACGGTACGATACGTTAACTTACCAATATACCTGTCATGCTTCTTCTTTGCAAAGCCAACGATATTATAACAGCAGATACCACAGTCTACAAATATATTAACACCAACCGAAGCAGTGCACAGTACGGTTTACCGTACTTTTAGCATCACTGGTAACCTCACACTTACGTTTTGAGTAGCAACGATTTTGAGAATCCGTCGTCACGCTCGGCAGATTAAAAACAGTGTTCCCATAATTAAAAAGTTATACAGTGAAATTTTGTATCAATAACAAAAAGTAATTGCCTTCTGGAAATTACATCTTTATCCACTGAAAATTTCAAAGCAATTGGTCCAGTATTCGAAGAGAAAAACGATTTTTCAATGATGGTGACGAAGAATAACAATAAAATAATATTGGAACGATCGTTATGTCCACTACGTGTCCAATAACAACTCATTACTCTGTTACTCGACAGATGTCCACACTACCGGCAAACCGACCAAACAACAAGAATTTGCTCGCATATTGCGAGATGTCACAGCGCCTGCCTCGGTAACAGTGTCTGTTTCCAGTCATATACTCATTTTTGATGGTACGTAGTACGTAATTCTTACTGTTCGCCTATGAGGTTTTTCATATCCTGATTTGGATCGTTTTATTTTCAATTTATTCCTTCGAAGGCCAGCAGTGACCCGAGAACTTTTACATCAAAAACTGCAGAGTTGCGTGATTTTTCTCTTGACATCAGACAAAGCGAGAATGTTTACTATTTACTTTTGATGTCGCCTTTGGTGCCATAATACGAAAGTTTCCTTTCAGCAGTCAAAACATTATGTCGGCATGATGCGCAAAAATCGAATTGGAAACACAAAGACGGCCGATGATAAGGATTTGAAGGGGAGAGAAAGAGTTGCTTATGAATATGGCGCTGAAGAGCTTCGTAAAATATGACTTGGTGTGATAACACTAAATTCACTTTTATCCTTGTATATTGGGGTAGAACCTGTCGGCACCATTTAATGATGATACAAGAAAAGGAAAAATCTAGATGTACCAATGCCTGAAAATACCGGGAATAGATTACAATGCATTCATGGGGGAAATAGACAAGATAGATCGTTTTCTGGCCAAATACAGATATAGGATGGCGTTCAGAAGATGGTATATATACCGTATTTCCAGGCGAATAGATCGCTTTTCTAGACGCAAATTTTTGGCCTGATTTTTTTTTTTTTTTGGGGGGGGGGCTTTTTCGATGTCGTCTTATTATTAGATTCAAACCATAAAATATATTGTGAGCGATAATATGCCTTCCCCGTCAGTTTAGTTTGATGAATCGGCGTTCTCGCTTTGTGGATCTGGAATATAAAAGCTTTAATTATCATATTTGAAGTTTCCGCATTTGCGTGTACACCACGAGCAGGAATTTAATAAATTCGCGGTCCTACGATGATAGGTAAAATTCGTCCTGAACCATTTGCAAGTAGTTTTGTGACCGCAACCTCAGGCCTGGAATCGTTGAAATGATTCCACGCATGTGACTTTCTTCCCGTCGTTGAAGTGAATACGATCTCACAATTACTCGAGTTTCATCTCGGTGAGAGTGTGCCCGCGTCTCATCTTCAGCCAATGCGGCTTTGAATTCGATGTCTAACTCAATTATGACTTCCCTCCCTAATCGAGAGAGCCGTGAGCAAATTCTCGAACGTGTTTCTGATATCGGCGAGTGCCGTGTGTAATCCAGGCGTTCCAGATTCAGCGACGAACGAGTGCCGTGTGAGAACATGTAATGTATCTGCGAAGTGACCTTCGATTCGTTATTCGAATATTTTGCCCAGCCCTACTATTAATCCAGGTTTAAGTTTAGTGTGGTTTTTGATCTCCACCCTAACTTTACGCAAGTTCAATCCCGGTTTTGGGAGACAGATTCGCCGATTCTAGTCTTGTCTGAGATCATTTTTTGGTTTTCGTTTGCTCATTAGTCATTCAGGAAAGATTTCAATAACCGATATGACTACAATATCAACCATTGACCCAAAATATAATAAGAATACGGCGCTCCAGAAGTATGTGTACCAATATGGAGGTATCTTATTATGTTCGCCTACTTTACAGCGTAAAGGGACTGAAACCTATTAGCAAGGGGTATATCGACTTGAATAACACAGGTAGTCACCGAGGGGACTATCCAAGTGACTCCCGTAGTATTTGTACCTAAAATTATGGCCTAACCTGGTACACATACTACGTTCCGGTGTCCGCCATCTTGGTAGGCAATAGGCATACTTCTGGAGTACCCTTCAATAGGAACTTTATGACTTTTAAAGCCTTTGGGATCCCGTGTACTAGGCGATAAATATCTAGGTGAAAATATACAAGGACCAACTGCGTTGGTTCATTGCCATGCATTCCACCAACCCCGTGTAACTCCGGAAATTTCCCCAGATGTTGAATTCCCGACACGCTTGACTTGGTTCTGACAGATTATTATTGCTTTGAAAATCATCGTGCGACTTCCTGCGTTTTTCTGTGTTCTGACGGCGCTGTCTCGCGTCAAGATTAAGTGAGTGACTTATAGAAATTCAAGTTAGTTGTGCACATGGAATATTACACGATATACTTGACTATAGAACTGATAGAATACAGATTACAAAACGAACATATGCATTTGCTGCGTATATATACATTTGCTCAAATTTTTTGAATACTTTCTCAAGTAGTGTTGTTACATCTTGACATTCAGTTACATTGTTTAATAGGTATTCGCTCATGAATGATTTGAAAATATTTTTCTTTTATATCAAGTGTCGGATGTTCAATGATGTGATGATGGAAATAAATTTCAGCTGCTTGCATGTGTTGAGATAGCCTTTGTATGATCATTGACTCTTAAAAAAGTTATTTATAGATTGGTTCGATTAATTTCTTGAGCAGAGCCTTGTGTTTCTGGGTTGCATTATTAACAGAAATTGCTGCTCTACCTATGCATTCCAGATTGTTGTCACATTCACAAAAGCTGCAGTGCGTAAATCACTGGCCCTTCGTTTCGTTCGACGCCGTTGAATTCTTTCTCATAATCATCACAGCAAATTTTTTACGTTTACTCATTTTATCTCTTATGAAGTTCCAGATCTAAACTAAATTCAAAGTTTAATTCACTGGTATATTTATTTATAAGGTTACAAATAAGGACACACGTCAAAATAAAGAGTAAAAATAAAGTTTCTTAGAAATAAGGACAAAAACATTTCCTAAAACAAAGACCTTCAAAATAAGGACAAATTCTAAAATTAAGGACGTTGTGGCAGCCCTGATTATAGGTCAAGTGGAGAAAAAACTTCTGTGAAAGCTACAATACTTGAGATGTAGTGGGACAAAAAAGCTGTGCTACTGGGCGTTTTTTTTATATAATGTGCAAAGTATTCATTTTCGTCACCACTTTACCTACATCCGACTGACATTTTTGCAATGCATCGCATTTTTGATGCCTTGCTTTCTTTCGACAAGGAAGTTGTCACATCATCCTGGTCATTTGCAAGACAGACTGTGTCTTCATTTTCACAATTATTTGTTCATTTTTATCGAGTTTCTTCGTCCTTCAGCAAATATTCCGATCAGTCATCAATGAATAGGGCTAGTTTTCGAGCTGTGATGCAGGAGCGTCGTCGTCGTTAAGCATCTAGTCTGAACAAAACCAGCCGTGACGCCCGCCACTTGGAGGTGCAACATCGCCTTTGTTTGTTTATTATACGGCGAGCGGAGTTGGACATCTAGTAGAAGTATATATTTACGATTCCACTGACTCAACATTGATTTACTCATCGATTCGTAAGATTCGAATGATTTTCAGTTTGAAAGATGCATATTTTGCAGGTCGCGGGGCTGGGAATCCATCGGTGCTCCAGTTGAATGAAAAGCAGCAAAGAAAAAGAAATATGTAGCAATGTCCACGTGATAGAACCTAAATTGCCTTTTTACTCCAGCTAAGAACAACTCCCAAAGCCTTAACAAACATCAATACTACTATTAATATAACTTGATATTCAGTGTTTATTCACATTAGTAATTAAAATAATAATTTGTATTCCTATGGATTATTGAGAAAAAAACTTGGGTACTCCAGAAATACGTGTACCAAGATAACGGACAACGGAACATAGTATGTGTACCAGGTCAAGCCATACTTTTAGGTACAAATACTACGAAACTCACTTGTTTAGTCCCTGAACTTGTAATAGAACTAAAATAAGGACATTTCGGCCTAACCCTAACGTGGTACACATACTGCGTTCCGGTGTCCTCCTTTCTTGGTACGCATACTTCAGGAGTACGGAAACTTGCCTCTAATCACATACATCTTAATCTTCATTCTAGCTGCTGTGTTTCTTCAATTGGTTTCGTATTCCATGAGTCCTATTGTCCATCTTGTTGTTATTATTTTGGCTGCAGTACTTTGCGTATATATACATTTGCTCAAATTTTTTGAATACTTTCTCAAGTAGTGTTGTTACATCTTGACATTCAGTTACGTTGTTTAATAAGTATTCGCTCATGAATGATTTGAAAATATTTTCCTTTTATATCAAGTGTCGGATGTTCAATGATGTGATGATGGAAATAAATTTCAGCTGCTTGCATGTGTTGAGATAGCCTTTGTATAATCATTGACTCTTAAAAAAGTTATTTATAGATATACTGTGAAAAAGTTGACTATTATTTACGGAGTTCCCCAATAAATTTATAAAAATAAAAACATTGTTACTTACCAAATAATATTCCTGAGTAATCAAAATTACTTTATCTAATGACCCGGATATATTTTCTGCTTTGTATGTAAAAGAATATGCAAATTGCGGTTCAACTGAAGTCACCTGTAATATACGATCGTAAATCTTACTAGCGCTTTCAAAACTTCAAGTGATATTTATGGAAATTCTTCAATCAGTGTAATGGCATAATCATATATATATTACTTCCACATCGGAAGTTGTTGACTGAGTTAAGAGTTCAATGTATAATGATATTACTTGCGCAATATAGCATTTTTATTCTTTGGTATTGGACACGAAGTGGACCTAATAGATCATTTTGTTATTGTGTTGGATCGGGCGCCTCCTGGGTATTCAAGTCGTCTTTACCTAAACTTCTTTTATGAATTATTGTTTGATTTATCTATTAGTGTTAGACTGAAATCACAGGTGTCGCTGCTCGTAACCAGTGTAATGGTGTCTCGCTTTGCCCTGAAAAAAAAAAACATGTCGTGCATTGTTTATTCATAAAGTGTGTTTTAGTATGGGGCAAAAATAAAATACTGATCTACTGATAACTGATTACCTTCTTCTTCTTTTACCCACCGGACCTGTCGCATGCACTGCCGCCATGTTGTTTTTATGCATTCCTGTGATCGATGTTGACGTATCACAACTGCAAATTAGTACTGATTTGGGTACTCTCGTGGTATATATACCAGGTTAGAGTTAGGCTTTAATTTTATTCCGATTTTCCATATCTTAGTTACATTACGAGTTCGGGGACTGTCTGTGATAGCCAAGTGAATATTCCCCCTGCCCACATGTTTCAGTCACTTTATACAACTTGATGTAAAATAAGCGAATAAAATTAGTCTCCTCTATATTGGAACATACTTTTCTGGAGAGCCCTGATTTGTAACGAGATGATTGTCACATTGTTGGAGACTCGGGTAATCATTTAATCAGGTAATCGAAATTGTGAGCAAACAATATTTCCCGAAAAAAATAAACTAAATACATTGATATAACTATTTTATTTGGATTGAATGCGGTTGATTTCTTGGCGCTCCAGCAGTATGTGCACCAAGATGTCGCACAACCTGAACCATAACCGGTACACACATATTATGTTCAGGTTGTGCGCCATCTTGTTGCACATACTTCAGTAGCTCCCATTTTTTTATGCGAATTACTGACAAAAAAATCAGGTTCGACGTGAGCTTGCGCTATTCCACGGAGTTCGATGGTTCAGTAAGTTCATGAACCACTGGTTAGCTGTGCATTAACGTCATATTTTAAATTTTTAGCGCAATACATTGATGAATCAATAATCGTTTTCGCATAGTCAGGGTTTATTCTAGAAATAATAATATTGATGTACGCAATCACGCAGTTTAATCTAATGAAATACTATAAAACGATCTAAATGACGTATTCCAATTAACCTTTCGATGACGTAGTACCCAGCACCTAAACACACAGTATGTTAAATATGACTTCAGATAATGTTTTCATAACCCAAGAAAATAGTATCAAGCATGTTTTGATATCCATCACATGCCTTCTACACATTTCTATAAATTATGCCATGTATTGGCATTCTGTAATCAGTCAGCTGTCAAGATGTCTGCTGCACCGACAGAATTTTGTGGAAATTTTCCACAAATGGGGACGACGCCGAATACAATTGAAAACTTCTACGAAGACGTAGAGCCGCAGCCAGTAAAGAGCAAAGGTATGTTATTACCAAACATATATTTTAACCAATGGTACAAAGTTGAAACAGAAGACCGACGTTCCGAAGCTTATCTTAGCTAATTGTACTGAGGTTACGCCAGTACAGTTCTGTAATCAAATTTGCGAGTGTATCTCTTTATATGTATATTGTTTGACTAATACCTCAAATGAAGCTTCTTTTTGATTTGATTGTTACAATCAACTATTGCACAGAGATTTATTTAATCTCCGATAAGTTTTGTTGGGCTTTCACTAGTGCAGTGTTTCCCAACTCGAGTCCGAGGTCTCATGAGCGCCTGAATGAGTCCACAACAAGCCAAATTCACTGCGGGCCGCAAATGTTTTTGCGAAACTTAACCATCAGCCAAGTTACGATTAACGTTAGAATTTACATGAAAAGCAAGTTACTCACATAACATTAATAGAGTCAATAATTTACTGGATACTGAGTCGGGCTGGGCTTATATATATATATTTGAATATTCAACTATTAGAATAGCAATATACTATTCGAAAATTTGGCAACAGATGACGCGACTGCACTTGCGCGTCGCTTAATCAAAGGATTGGATTTCACAGCTCACGAGTGAAACACTTGTACTAAACCACGCCAAGTGAATGGCAAAATATATAATATATATATGGTCGAATCCCAAATAGGTCAATTTTATTAAAGTGTTTAAAATCATAGTCCCAAGCGAGGCGCTAAAAATGCGATTAAATATACGCTGGGACCTGCTATATATACAATGAATACGGAGACAAAAAAGTAGTAGTACAAAATCGGTGAATCTTCGCCTAATGTTCGCATTAAATAGGCTTACCATACGTCCCACTTTAGGCGTGACAGTCCCGGTTTTAGGAGTCTTGTCCCGCCGTCCCGACAAGTCAGCCAAAAGTCCCGCTTTGGCGGTCGAAACATTGTGTGCCTGTTGTTATTTGAAGGTATTATCTACAGAAAAGCATGCTTGGGCGAATAAGTAAATTCTCAATGCTTGAAATCGGCAGACTATTTCATTAACCTTTATTCCTTTTGCGTTCCTTTGCTATCCTTTATTCCGTTAGCGTTTATTCCTTTCTTTTTTTCGAACTGAATCCGATATTTAGACAAAGAATATGCGCATGAACTCTCGATGACAATATGGTCAATGAATACAGCCGGGATGGCTTTAAATATAGGCCTATGTAGTAAAATCGGAAACTGTAAAGTTACAGAATCACATCTAAGAGGTTGTGTCTTTGGAGGCGTCCTGCTTTGAAGTCAAAAAAATATGGTAACCCTAACTATAGATATATGCCTTCATATGTATTGTGTCTCTGTTCGTAAGATGTAAACGAGCCCAATATACTTCGACTAGGCCAGAAGTTAAAATCTGAACGAATGGCCGATGACTCACATTTTAAATTTTGAACACAGAATTTAAATTTTAAGCAGCGCGCGAAGACTGTCCAACTCGTGAACTCAACTTGCTCGTCTAATTTAAAGAAAAATATTTGTGTGATCTCATGTTTGTGTGATCAAATGTGATCTGAACTTTAGATGAAAAAGTGACACATTTTATTACAAACACCCACGCCCCCTTAAAATAAAAAGCTGTTAAACATACTAGGTAGGACGTAGGGGCCAGGCATGGACCAATATGAACAGTTAACTCAATCGCTTAATACCGGTTTTCACACCGCTGGTATTCTGGTGTAAATTCCCGCATTCGATATGGACTTTGTAATGTAACTATTTATATAATCGAACTGCCATATAATATTTTTCTATTCGCTATTTAGCCTACTTACTGAAGACGATTTTGTTTGTTTCGCGTGGAAAATTGCTACAATTTGTTACCCCCCGAAAAATATGGCAACCCTAGCCTTAACGAGTAATTTTTATCATCATTCCAGATACTGAACACACAACAGTACGAAGAGGACTGATTGTTCTGGCAATATTTTTATCAATGGTTGTTGGGCTTGTTGTTTCCTGTCTTGTGATCATCACACAGGTTAGTAAAATTCTTTTGAAGTTATTTTATATTCTATTAATAATATACCGGAAAGTGCGAATGTATATGCATAATAAACAAGCGAATTTTGTCAAAACAATAAGAATTCACAATGCAAATTGAAGTACAAAGTGAGAGCAAAACCTCTATTTTTTCATGAATAAACGACAAAGCTATTTAGTCAAACACCCATACGCCCAACTCAATTAATGAAACTTCAAATCAGATTACCCTTCTGTCCGAATGTAGTGGAAGATTGTCTATACATGAAAAATTTAAAGCTCTAATTGATGCGAACTTTTGAGGAGCTTTTCAAATACGTTTTTGAAAAAAAAAAAAGTAACCTAAAAATGTTTTGTTTGAACTGACTAAACCAGATTTAATGTCTAAAATAGGATAGAAGGGTATGCTGTTCTGCATGGCGTGAACCGCAAATAATGGTCTCAAATTCAATGGGCACAAGCATATTTTAGGTAGCGAGTTTATTGTTTTAATGCTATTAAAAATATTCTTACAATGAACTGACTTTCGGTGGTTTAAAAGCCGAAACCATCCGATGTCTTTAATTCCTGAAACTACGCGTGAACACTAAAACACTTTATTTATATCAACAGCTCCAAAGTGAGATGAGAATTATGAAACATCAAGAAGACAAGTCAATTGCTAGGTTGAAATGGCTAGAAGAAAATGGTAATTTTACTGTACTAAAAATGGTTCGACCCATCGAACACGAAGATTTAGAACCGCTTTTCCTTTTTTGCCCAGAGAGCATTAGGAAAATAGTCTCTGAATTAATGAAAAAGATTATATGTATGTTAAAAAATTGGTCACAGGAAAAGTTATAGACTACGGCCCGGAAAATAGTTTTATTTGCGATGTTATCAGGGTTGTAATCGTGAATGTACTGGATAGGTTTCAATTTTCAAGCAGACGCAGCTTTCCCACACTTTTTTAAACATGTGTTTCATGTGTAAGTCATAGCGATTGCTATCTCAGTAACAAACAGCACATTGCCTTATGTTCTATGATTTCATGAAAATGCTATTATAGTTACAAATGCGTGTGTTAGCAATGGATTTTATTCTAAATCCGAAGATTAATTTGATTAATGTTGCGCAGTCAGTGGTTTCATATTGGAGTCGTATGTCATCTCACTTGGTCAACAAAAGGGACAATTTGCATGTATTGCAGGTTAATGAACGACATACTTGTACTTTTTACAGCTTCAGAAGTGATTTACTCCAAACTTAATGAACAGCAGATTCGAATAAATCAATCGATTGAAGATATTTCAACTTTGGATCATTCTCACCAACAATTGAAGAAATCGATTATACAAGAACGTAGGTTGAGTTATTTTTTCAATATCAATCCTAAGATATGGGGCTATATTGTATCAAATAGGCTACAGGTTTGTCTCGGTGATATTCGCTTTGTCACTTTGGTAGATACATTTCTGAACTTCATACATTTTATTTTTTAGTTTTCCCGAAAGATTGCAAAAGTGTAAATGGCAAATATGCGAAAATTCAGAACACCACCGGTGGAGTCTTTGATATATATCCGGAATTAAGAGCCAAACCTGTCGAAGTTTACTGCGATATTGTAACAGATGGAGGCGGATGGATTGTATGTAAAAAATACCTATTTCCTAATATAATGACTTTCATTTATTTTACTTAACCGAAATGGCAATACTCTTTTTGATTATAATTTCAAAACACGTTACCTAGTAGTGTAGTTTTTGATCAAAAAGATTTAATATTCCGTATTGGTTATTAACTGAAAACGGCAACTTAACAAAAAGCAGCCAAAATATTTATATAACATCAAAACGGACATTGCAGTTCGTGACAAAAGCTATTGAAGATAAAATCATTTTATGATCGATTTATCATTGTAACTGAATTTGCAATATTCGTAAGGTGTTTCAAAGACGAATGGATGGAACAGAAGACTTCTACAGAGGATGGAACGAATATGTAAATGGATTTGGAGAAAAATATAAAGAAATGTGGTTAGGTGAGTTTAAAGCACGACGACGATTGAATGTCCCAAATGCTAGATAATCAGTAAAATTTATCACGAACGCAAATTTTTTCAAATATTTGAAGTGATCATATGTTCTGCATTTCCGCATTCAGGCTTGGAAACAATCCATCAACTGACTAAGAAGGGGAGTTACGAACTAAGAATTGATTTGGAAAATTATAGTGGAACCACTGCTTATGCTAAATATGGGTAAGTATTAAAATACAGTTTATCAATATAAATTTTGGGACTAAACAATATATTCTCGAATAATGATTGAATAAAATCACCTGTATCGAATATCATTAATAATTCGATCATTCTGGAAATTCTCCCGCATATATCCTGCAATATTATTTATTGACCGGAAACCAAGTTTTCTCCATAATGCATTTGTTCAAATTTATTTCTCATATTATCAATATGAACGTCGCACGAGATATTATAGTGGTTTCCAACCACGGTGCCGCAACGCATTAGTGTGTCGCGGAATGGTTATTGATGTGCCGCGAAAAGATTTCATTTTTGAATTTATTTTAAGTGATTCCAATAGACCAGTGGTGATCAACCGCCGGTCCACGAATCGGTTCCAGTCCGCGTCAACTTTGCTGCCGGTCCGCCAAATATATTCTAATCTTAATATATTATAATCATATTGCGAAATACAAAGTATTGACGGCATGCCCGTTAGTTTTTTTTTTTTTTTATCTCTTATTGATTCGTAGTGCCGATATTCGTCTAACAACAAAACTTGGTGAGAGGTCCTCTGCCCATTTTAGGCCCTGAACGGCTGGATGTTCGTTAAGTCTTTGACCTAATAACGGCGGCTAACCTCAACCGATGAGTTTGATAGCACATAGTACGGTACCTGAATGAGAACTTCGCACTTCGCACGTTTTGTAATTAAACAGTAGGCTTTTCATTTAGCGAGCTTTAATGGTAAAATGGAGGCAAACAAACAGCAAAGTATTATGCAGTTCTTTCAAAGGAAACCCAGCGGTAAAAACCAAGTTAGTGGTGTTGACAGGACATAGACTGCTACTTCAACTTTACAACATGCCCCAAAACGACCTTGTAGCAATGTTGATATGAATCACGCAGAAACAAGCAAAAAACGAAAGGAAGACTTTATCAGGCAGTATGCAGAATGATAAGAAGTATTTGGAACTCGAAAAAAAGATGATAATGAACTGATCTGCTCAGTCATACTGTAATCACTGAAACGCTTTTTCACTTAGGACGACGCCGTGAACCTTCTCTGCAACTGTGTCGCTGATACTTAGCTCCCAGGCTTGTCAATTAACTCTCTTCCAGCTATGGACCCATTTATTTGACATGGGTACTTTTAAAGTTATTTTTTTTGTTAACCATTAAGCCCTAAAGCTTCTTTCATGGCTTTTTAAAAGCGTGTGCTAGAGTTGTATTCAGCAATATATCTTTAAAACACACTCCTTCAAAAAAAAAATTGGACTTTGAGAAATTCTGTGTACAGTAGAGGGTTAATAATTAATTCCTAATTAATTAATTTTTTCTTCAACGTTTTCGTCTAGTTTTTCCTAACACAACAATACCGAAACGACTATTATAGAATAAATGGTTATTACTCTGAAATTCACAATAGTATTTACAGGTGTATCAAGTTCAACGCTAAAATTACAGATTTTGATGACGTCACAGCTCTTATTATTACTGCACAGACCACCCCCAATGCAAAAAAAATAAATTCTTTCGACGGAAATGCGCGTAGAACGACGTAAACAATCCCATACGCGCATTTACGCGTTAAAATTACCATTAATTTTACGTTTTTTTTACATACAAAAAAAGTGGTCGGAATCATATTTATCAAAACAACACAGCGCCAGGGATGGTCAGGGATAGTATATATGACTGAAAATACATGCTAAACCAACAATAAGTCTTTATAAAGGAGTATTTCCTGTCTGAGCTGAGTCGACATTTTTAGACGTCTGACAGGCGATTTTGAAATCCACGCTATTTATAAGATTCGCACTTTGCGTCACGGCTGGAAGGTTCTATCGCTTCTCTCATATCAGAGCATAACGTCAACAAAGAGCTAAGAGCGATATTAACAGTAGTTTACCGATCACAAAATTAAGTATGAATATTCTCTCATATGAGCTTATATATATACAGCTATTACTGTATTTCATATCTCGAACGCAAAAAACCGTTGTCTTTTTCAGATAGTTTCTGCGGTCTGAAAAGTCGAACAGGCGTTTCGACATGATATAAGCTATGATCTTTGCCATCAAATTGTGCTCGGACCTTGCACGAAATTCATAACATGAAAAGATACGTACAGCGGTAAAATAACACTATTGAATGAATTTGGCAATGGGAGAAACATATTAAATAGTAACAAAATTGTATATGTTGTGCAAAAGTGAGAATGCTTATGATAATAAGGGCGTAACCTGGAACGGCGAGCAAAACCGAAGCGCGTGATCGGCGGTTCGTTTGAAGACCACGTCTCTCTAACAATCGTTCACAAATTGCAGCAGTGGCAAAGAAGCACCAGACACAACAGTCCTACTGACATATTATTTTATACCTGTTACTAAATATAGGGTACCGTATTTGCTCGTTTTGTAGGCCAGGCCCATATTTTTTTAACCCAACTCACTAACCGGGTCCTTATTCAAGCACGGGCGCTTGTTATTTTTAAAGTAAAATTATACACAAAAATATATAAAAAACATATATATATAGATAGGATCGATCGTTACAATAATTAATATATTGTCATTTCCAGTTCTCAAGTATGATTTAAACGAGAATAACTAAAATTTTGACTTTTTCTACGCTAACGCAGGTACAAATCCGCAAAAGAAGAAAAGTTTTGCGACGCCCTATCAATATTGAAACGCGACGCCCGGTTTGAGAACCACGGTGATACGTACTCAATGCTATCTGTTATGTAATTGGACGGCTAAGGCGTGAGTGTTATCTACCAGCGCTTAAAATTCAACAGCGTTGTGACAAAAGCGCTTCTTATTTCCTATTGTTCTCCACCACTAAAAATCAGCTTTTACATCGGGCATTCAGGCACCGGCCTTTTATTTATTTTTTTGTTCTGTTCACACGGGCGGCTATTCAAACGGGCCCTTAATTAATCAAGATCGGGCGGTTAAACGAGCATATACGGTATGTTGTATTCACGTGAATAAAATACTCCCTATCTGTTTTTTTTTTGTAATTATTTTATAGTAAAATGACTTTATAGGTAGAAAATGTTCATGTTTTGTGATAGGTGTGCTGCGAATATTTAAAGATCTCAACAGTGTGCCGCAATATAAATAAGGTTGGGAACCATTGTATTACATGTTCAATTAACTAGTCAGAGATATAATTGAATTAAGCTTCATTTGTTTACAGGACGTTTTCAATATCATCTGCAAGCGAAAACTATACATTGTTAGTTGGAGAGTATAATGGAACAGCTGGAGATTCATTGACGTATCATAACAATATGCAGTTTTCTACAAAAGATTCTGATAATGATGATAATCATAACACATTTTTGTCGGGGCACTGTGCAGTGGACTTCAAAGGAGCCTGGTGGTACAAAAGTTGTCATCAATCAAATCTGAACGGATTCTATTACGAAGCTTTTCTAAATGATGCTAGATCGGTTCACTGGAGTTCCTTCAAAGGATATAAAACTCTCAAGTTCACTGAGATGAAGTTTAGGCAGAAAACGTAATTCTGCCAATAAACATTTCCGCATACAAAGGTTTCAATGTTTATTATCATTGCGATATTTTAAACATCAAATGGCATTTAGACTGCAATGTTATTTCGCATAAAACGACATTCTTCGGAAAATTCGACCTTTTTTTTCCAAAATAAATTACGGTCTCGATCACATTCATTTATGGCTAATTTTTCATTGTTCAAACGTGAAGAAATACACCAATAGAATATGCAAAAAAAAAGCTTCGCTGAAAATCTATAGGAGGCACTGATACCTTCGCTCGATATCTGTGCAACAGAAACTTTTTCACTTAGCGCAGATTACCTTCATTCTGTTTTCATAATTGAATATTCCAAGCTCCGCAAGCTAATGTAAGTTGGTATTGCATTGGATCACACTTTTAATTATATTTTCTGCCACTTTTCTCATTATAAAATTTCCTCATTGGGGCAAACAACTATGAATAGTTGTTTTCTTTGTATCAAGTTATGCACTGAACAACGAAAGCTTACAATAAATCATTCTGTGATATAACAATATGATATTATCGACGTCACATGGTTTGAATAAACAATATTCAAATACAATACTGATGAATATATAGAATGCACTGTCTGAGATATGGGGCGACACAACTCCGCTCTATACCCGGGCAAAAGAGACTTCTTCACTTAGCGAAGACTGCGTTTATTATTATTTTTTTATAATTGTATTTACTGCGATATTTAAAATTCTGCAAGCTAATGTAATATATTGTTGTATTAGCTCACACTTTCTATTATATTTTCTGCTACCTTTATTATGAAATTCCTTATTGAGTAAAACAACTAGGAATAATATACCTAAATTGATTATTGATGTTTTCTTCGTAACAAGTTATGCATTGACCAACGAAAGCTTATCATAAATCATTCTGTGATCATCGTCGTTACTAAGTTTGGATAAACAATATTCGAATATTGACGGTACATGTGATCGCTATCGAGTCTATATTACCAAGCTAATTTGTGTAAACCCTTTGCTTCTATTTTCATTACTTCCGGACCGGAAGTTGTTGATCAGGTTATCCGTAGCAGGCAAATAGCGGTGATGTGTTTTAGATTACTATTTGTGTGATAAAGCATTTTTGCTCTTTATACTTTAACGATGAACTATTTTCAGAGTTATCGGCAGCAATGTAAAGATATCTCGAATTACAGTCAGTTTACATTTCTATTTTATTCTTTCTGTCTACCTAAATTCTTATCGCAATATTTTCTTCAATACTTTTATAGTCTAAATAAACATTGATTGATAATTTCAATTTTTAAGATCATGTTTGAAGGTGGTGGACTTCGTCACAGCTCATGTTGCAGTAAATACTGTGTTTTGTGGTATTTGATATTCCATGTTTAATTCAAAGTTGCTTCCAAGGCTTTGGCAGCCAGCAACGCAACGTGAAGAAATGTTCTATATAATATAGCCTACCACAACCTCCAACTATACCCGTTAGTCTTTATTCGTACAATGCCACTTTTATGTACTCCGATGACCGTTGTTGACATAGCACAACTGCAAATCCGTATTGATATCTAGAGAGATGATTGTATTTGTAACTTTTAGTCAGATGTAGTGTTGGAATACCTCGGCTCGATTCATCTTCCCACAATGTAATAGAACTTGTGGACAAACAATTGGTGACCGTACATTTGAACCCATGTACATTTGAACCCATGCGTATATCCACGGGTCCAATCTATATGCGGGTGCTAAAACCCATGGGTTAGGGTTAGTATGGGTTTAACTATCCGTGAAACACAAAAAATTCCATAGGTGCAATAGCATACGGGTGCAATTGTCATGGGTTCAAATGTACGTGGGTTCAAATGTAATGGAACCCAAACAATTGTATGATATCAAGGGTTAGAATGGGCATGGCGTTGAAATGACGTTTTATTCTGTGGCAAATCTGATTTTGTTCCAAAATATTCACTCCACTAATTTAACGTTTATGGAACATTTATCAAATTATTATTGTGACAAGAGAACCCCTTCTTCTTTTTTGATAAAAAAATTTTCATCTGAATAATTTTGTCTTGTATAACTTGCTGCTTGGAACTATTAAAGATGCGAAATACCTTCATTAGAGTTTCTGATTCAAAAATTCTGTCAGTCACCAATTCTGTCAACATTCCCCAAGTTCATTCGTTTATGATTTTACTCACTTTCAAGGTCACTATTCCCGATTTCCATCATATGGATGTTTGAAATAGCATTAGTAACAAATTTTATAACAATTTGGAGCATTGTTCACCACCAGACATCAATTCAACAACAAGGTTTTTCGTCCAGTCCTGAGCTCGTATGTTGACACATCTCGTGTCTAATATTTTGCTGTTAAGTTGAAAATTGATCAAACGCAAATGACTGAAATAATCCAGGGCAAAAGATCAAATTTGACAATGTATCGACTATTCAGGCGAACTACTGTGTACAATTTATTACGTCGCATTTGGCGTCATTCACCATTTATTTAAACGCTTCTGTCCCAAAACAATAGCTTTCGCCTTTCAATGCTATTGTTCATTCTAATTTGAAAGAAGTTTAAATAAATGATGTATATAGTGGAATCATGTATGTCTAAGGAAGTCTGATTTTGGTCAGATGGAACGCTACAGAATTATATTTGTATTAGCGTGCAGCAAGAAAAGTTCCAAAACTCATATTGCTTGCTTTATACTTGTTAAGCGTGTTCTTATTATGAATAAGCCCGATAGAAATCAATCTCTATTGCGTACAACTGCGTGAGTTCATCCATAGTTAACTGAAGACAATTGTGGTTCATCATCGAATTGACGAATCACCATTGAATCGTTTATGAGAATACGTTATATTCAACGTTGTTATATTTGGCTATACAGTGGGTAAATGATTCCAAACCACAACTAAAGGCATAGATGAACCAACAATATTTGCTTTGTTTCAAACGCATGAGTAACAAACATCTCAAGCCTTGTTTATTGGACGATTATTGAACCTGTTTCATACAGTTATGAAGCAATCACGCACATGCATCACAACACTTAGTCATAATATAGCAAGTTTACACCCGTGTATAAAATTGATATTCATCACTTGGGAAGATTAATTTAGAAGGACCGATCGACCTGCCAAAATGTCTACAGCCGAGACGAGATTCTACGCTGAAAATGCAGATAATCCAAATAGAAGTAATGCTTTGTCCTCGAATAACAATATTTATGAAACGCCATCCGTTCAGCAGCAAAAGCACAAAGGTATTTTGAATTTTAGTTTATAAGTGGTATCATTTGTTTCCGACATAGGTTACTTTTTTTAATTAATGGAAACATACTATTATTTCATGTCACGTTTCTAAAAGATGCATAGCCTAACTTGTCTTAACAAAATTTATCATGAATCATTAAATATTCTGTAACCTGACTCATAAAATCCTGTCAACATTCGGGGAATGTTTGTGTTATAGAGTGAATTGTGATATCATTCCAGATACTAAAGACACAGCAGTGAGAATAGGACTGATTGCTCTGGCAATATTTTTGTCAATGAATGTCCGGCTCGTTGTTTTCGGCCTTGTAATTATCACACAGGTTAGAAACATGTGGTTATTTCATATTCTATCAATATTATACCGAAAAGTGCGAATGTACCCGCATAATAAACAGCCATTACAGTTTATTTTGGCAATAGCATGACAAGCGAATTTTGTCAAAATGTTACATATTCACAATGCAGAACAAATAGTTCTTTCAAAAAAAAAAAAATGAAGCTAATTCAAAGACCTTCGCTATCTCTCTCTCTTATTCTATATACTGTACTGTATATTTTACGCTGCTATTTGCCCAAATATTCATATTAAATATTTGATTAATGAAAAACTGGAGTGTCAAATCAAATGATTCCCTTCTTTCGTAGCTTGTCTTGAAAAAGCTCCAAGTTTCCCGTCGATTTGGAGGAGAATTTTTCAAGAATTTCTTGAGAACACCTGAAAAGTTTTGAAATAGATTGTTTGACCGGACCGGGCTATCCTATATTAGAATCGAGTTGTATGTAATTCTAGAATCTAGATGAAATCCTAATATTAGTCTCAAATTCAATGAGCGCAAGGGTATATAAGTAGGCTGCGAGTCTAATAGCTTCTTAAGAACATTTTTACAATGATTAGGATAATAGTAGTTACGAACTTGCCACTTATCTGCATATTTTAAGCAAAACGTGAACACTGAAAATTTCAATTTCTAACAACAGCTTCAGAATAAGATGAAAACTATGGAAGTGCAATTGCCACATCAAGGGAACCAGTCCCTTGCTAGGTTGCAATGGCTTGAAGAAAATCTGACATCTGAAATTACCAAATCGTTTTTTCAATTAAAAATGATTACAACAAATGGTAATTTGTTAATTCTGAAATTGATTCGAGTCATCAAAGGGCTATATTGCGACCCAACTACTTCTCTTTATATACACAAAAATAATAATGGAGGGTATAAAATATGAATGTTAAAAGATTAAACATTGGTTACAAGAAACCTTATTTTTCAGTAGAATCTAAAATATTCCAATGGGCGCATACTGTATGTTTATCAGGTATCTTTTCACAGAACAAAAAAACACTAATTTCAATATTATCACACATTCCATTTGTATTTATAGCTGCTTTGAGTTAATAATATTATTAAGCTTAATTCCTTGTCCGTGGATTTTGGCAAAGTGAATAAAATATGTTTTAGAATGTATTCGTTTGTGGTCCCTGGTGATGTAATATTACGACCTTATTTCAGACTCGGAGGAATTCAACTTCAAGCTCAATGAACAGCAGATTCAATTAAATCAATGTATTGAAGATGTATCAAGTCTGAATAGATCTCATCGACAAATCATGAAATTAGTTATACAAGGTACGTTAAGTATTGAATCAGTATGTTTTTTTAAATATAACACACTAAATACGGGTTGCTTATATGGTAGTAATAAATTCACATATTTGCTCCATCGCGTTAACAGATATATAGTGCACAACTATTTTTTAATCCACAATTACAAAAGTCGAGAAAAGTTAAGATTGTGAGTGACATTGTTTTTTGAAACCATCTATATCCCCTATATCAGCGGCTCTCATACTTTTGGTGGTATGGCTCCCGTGAAAAGGTCGACTATTATTTACGGAGCCTACAATAAATTTATAAAAATACATTGTTACTTACCGATTGAAGTTCCTGCGTAAATTAAAATTATTTCATTTAATGACTCGGATGAATTTGCTGCTTTGTATTTAAAAAATACATTTAACAAACATATTAACAAAGTAGTGTTGTTTTGAATTACCGTATTGTTGCCACATTTCTACGCTATCGTTGTCAAATTTATTGATGCCGTTATTTCTTTTTTGGCATCTAAGTCAGTATTTTATTAAGCGAACGAATATCTTGCAAAATCCAAGGGTTTCTCTCACAAAGCCATAGGGCTCCGTAAGCAGCACTTTGAGGCCCTATGCTTTATGCCACAGGTTTTCCGAAAGATTGCACAACTGTAAATCGTAAATATGCGAAAATTAGTAACACCACCGGTGGAGTCTTTGATATATATCCGGAACTAAGAGACGAACCGGTCGAAGTTTACTGCGATCTTGTCACAGATGGAGGCGGCTGGATCGTAAGTTACATTTATCCATGTTTTAATTTCTTTCACGAACAAAATGATTTTTTTTCGCTCTTTTGCACTTTTTTGGAATTTCGACAACTTTTAGATAGAGATAAAATCGTCACGTCGTGTAACCGTTTTAATGTAACCGGACACTCATTGATAACTGATGCTAAAGAATCAAAATTACAACATAATTTAATTTGTTATGTATCCAAGGTGTTTCAAAGACGAATGGATGGGACAGAAGACTTCTACAGAGAGTGGAACGACTATGTTGATGGATTTGGGGGTAAAGATAAAGAAATGTGGTTAGGTGGGTGTGAATCCTGTGAAAGAAGCTGTTATCATGTCACTCAAAGTGTACAATGTAATATATCAAAAAACGATTTCCCATTTTGTCGAGAAGTAATCGGGCAAACCAACTGATTACACAAACGATAATCGAAATTTCAGCTTGCACCTGCACAAAATAATTCGTAAAACAAGTTTAAATGATGTGAATAAAAATCCGATAAATCTGCACTAAATTCGGTACTCCCGAAGTCTGTGAACCAAGATGGCGGATACCGTAACCATAGTATGTGTAGCCGGTTAGGGCTGGGTCATAATTATTGGGATATGCCATTTCTGCCATCCTGTTTCTATGCCATTTCTCTCTACCTGTATCATACATGATTGTGTTATTTTCTATTTAACTGATTGGAGTATTTGGTTGTATTAAGATCTTTGTTAACAGTTAGACTTACATTAGGTTAAATGTGTTATGCTTCATTCACAAACATTGGATTTATACAAAGACACTCAAGTTGGTAATCTGTAAAGAATCTGCTCATCAGACTTCCCAACAATAATTTTATTCCAATTTTCCTTATTTTAGTTTTATTACGAGTTCGGGGACTAAACAAGTCACTCCCGTAATATCTGTACCTGAAATCATGGCCTAACCCCAACCTGGTACACATACTACGTTCCGGTGTCCGCCATCTTGGCTCAAGTACTTCGGGAGTACCCAAAATTCTTTATTATATTTATACACAATTCAAAAGACAAGCTGAAATGATATGAAATAAAAAATCCGATAAAACGCTACTTTCTCACAGAAGAAACCGATATTAACTGGAAAATACAACATCAATACTTGTTAAATGTCGACAATCAAGACATATCGTATGACTTGGTGAGATCCAAATGTGCGACATCCTATATTCAAGTAACTCAGATAAAGGAGCCATGATTTAAAAAATTATATACGCAAGGAAAGCTGCTTGACCAAGTTGATCTTGTCTGTATAATGGCGATATATTATACGAACAGCGATCAGTGACACGAATCATGGCCGCTACGTCGTAGTTCGGGTACGAACAACTTTCGGGAATATGTGTTTCAGGAGGGTGGTCATTCCCCATATAGAAATCGAACACAATACATAAGTTCAATAATTTTCCCAGCTGCAGATATTGCAGACCTCAGTATAACCACGACATTTGTTAACTTGTACAAAGATCTCGCTGAACTTAGGGAGTTTACGGAGAACTAAATATGAAGTTTAGAGTCAAATGCTCTTACTGAACACCTTGAATTCATTTTAAACGTGTTTATATATTTTTTAACAATATTACGGAAGTTTGCGATTTCCGAGGTCCAAATAAAAATTACAACCCGCTTGAATTTGTGTGTACAATGCAACCAGCATTCATATGTTTTACATTCTTCCATATTTAGGCTTGGAAACAATCCATCAACTCACTAAAAGCAGAAGTTACGAACTAAGAGTCGATTTGGAAGATTTCAGTGGAAACACTGCTTATGCTAAATATGGGTAAAATGTGAAATAATAATAATTCGTCACTATAAATGCGAATTAAAAGTATTAAATAGTTCTCTCTAAGAATTGAAGGTTTGAGCTACAGCACTGAATATGAGAAAAACGGTAAAAAAAATTAATTGAGAAGTAGCCTGTCGACAATATCATTACATCAGGCTTCATTTGTTTTTGCAGGACGTTCTCTATCGCATCTGCAAGCAAAAACTATAAATTGTTAGTTGGAGAATATAATGGAACAGCTGGAGATTCATTGACGTATCATAACAATATGCAGTTTAGTACGAAAGATTCTGATAATGATGGGTCTTCGGGCAGCTGTGCAAAGTCATACAAAGGAGGCTGGTGGTACAGTGGTTGCCATGCCTCAAATCTGAACGGCGTGTATGGGCAATCTTTATGGGATGATAAATCGGTTACTTGGTTTGAATTCAGAAAATTCCAAGCCCTCAAGTTCACAGAGATGAAGTTCAGACAAAAAATAAACTGAAATAACCATTGAGGCATACGACGATTTCAATTTGCTATTTCATTGCAATATTTTAATACCAAATATTCATTGATACAAGATCATTTTTATTGGAAACTTCTGTGACTGCTACGCAGGAAGATTCATGATTTCAATTTGGAAGTTATATTTATTTTTCTTTGAATATCAAGTAATAACATTCAGCACAAATTTTCATTGACTAATTATTTGATTATTTTCCAAACGTTTACTGGAGTTGTTTTGACTACACTGTAATGTTTTAATTGTTGTCTCCATTTTCTTCATCGTATGTCTTATCATAAGAAAGTTTCTTTGCTATATCATATCTGGTTACTATAGCTCGTAAACAATTAAAGCTTGATTCACATTAAAGGGCTTCCCTTTCTCGGTCAGTTAGTTACACTCATATAATGTATTTATTGTTTTAAGATTCATTTCTTGTTTCGAAATCTTTCTCCTGTCATCATTTAATTTAAAATGTTTGTAAGCATCTTTTTCTTACTTACTTGCACGTTTTTAGTTGATTTCAATTTTATATTATTATTTATTAATGAACAACACGTATTATTAGGGAGGTCATCGACAAATGAGTCTTTTGTTAAATATAGTTGTTGTTAATGCGTTTGTTTTTTAATCTTTGTTCTTTAATCAAAAACATCTTTACTTCACAACAAATGGAGTAATTTCTTAAGGTTGAAGGGTATTTCAATTTCTATATTCGGTTTTCTTATCATCTTAAACTGCAGGTTTTGAATACTGTTATTCCGCGGACCTGTCCAGCAAAATAACGTTGCCAATTGTGTCAAAGTTGGAGAAGGGATTTATAACGATGATAGATCTCAACTCCTTCATAAGAATACCACTAATATAATTTAGAGTAAACATAATTTAATACTTGACTCCCAACTAAGGAATCGTAGATTAAATTTAAGGTTCATCAATTTGAACAATTAACGCAACAAAATAGTCTCAACATATTTGTTATTTCCAGATCCAGATTGGCGTAGCGGCCAAGCTTTACATTTGTCTATGACAAAGTAGTGTAGTAAAAAAAATGAATGATTTTTTAAACAGTTTATCAATAAATAATGAATTAATTGCATATTGTTTTGTTCAGGGGTGTGCAACCTTTATTACAGGAGGGACAGATATAAATAACTGGGTGGTACCGCGGGCCGCACCTTGATTTGACATAGTCTTTCTAGTAGCAAGCACAAAAATTTTGGTTATTGATCTTGTGACATGTGTTGTTTGTACAAGCTAGTTGTTAAGGCATTGTAGCCATATATAATAAATTGGGCTGAGGTATAGGCGTCGCAACCAAACGGATTCGAATTACAAGCATATATATCATTTAAAATAGGCACTTCAGCGCGGGCCGCAAATTTTTTCGTTGAGGGCCGATTTCTTGAGGATCATATATTACGGAACCTCTGTTACCGGTCCGTTAGTGAAAATATCGTTTCCCACTAGAACTAGAACATGCGACATATATGAAAATTATGAATCAATTGCATAGGAACGATATCTTCTTCTTTCACTTATCAGTCATTAATATTTAACAAGATTCGGCCCAACCTACCTCCCATTTACTAATCTCGCATCAATCTTGTATGCAAGACGCCACATCGATCGACATCATGGCATTTGAATTCTCAATACATCATCATGGCTATTGTATAAAACTGATGAAGGATATAATTCCTCATTTATATTACTTCCGGATTGGAAATTGTTGATTAATCTAACAGTAGAATTTAAACTGCAGTGTTTATGAACTTAATAAAACTGCAGTATTTCATTTTTTAAGTGAATTGCTGAAGGAAGTTTGACATTCTCCAGTTGAACAGAAATAAAGAACTGACAGTAGATTCACAAGCGATCACTGCCGCACAAAGAGCTATAAAAAGGTTTATCAATGTCTGTATGCGTGGATTACCAAGAGTAATAAAAATTGATCAATTGTTCAATTTTTTCACGTATCAAGAATTCCATTTTCTCTAAATGGAGCAGGAGTGTGTGACTTATTCATTAAAAACGGTACGTGACTGCTCGAGAATTCATTCGTGGGAAAATATTAGGATTCAATTTGACAATTTATCGACCTTCCGGGCGAACTGCTGTGTACAATTTATTATGTCGGATATGGTATCATTCACAAATATTTTACCATAGTTCTGTCTCAAATCAATAGCCTTTGCGTTTCAATTTTATTGTTTATTCTAATTTGAAAGAAGTAAAAATAAATAATGTATGTACTAGGACATCGACCTTCCGGGCGAACTGCTGTGTACAATTTATTATGTCGGATATGGTATCATTCACAAATATTTTACCATAGTTCTGTCTCAAATCAATAGCCTTTGCGTTTCAATTTTATTGTTTATTCTAATTTGAAAGAAGTAAAAATAAATAATGTATGTACTAGAACCATGTATGTCTGAGGAAGCCCGACCTTGGTCAGATGAAACGGTACAGAAATATATTTGTGTCGGTGTGCGGCAAGAATCTTGAATTACCTATTACTAATTGATATATCTAAACAAGAAGAATAACTTATGTCTCACCTTTTTATGGAAAAATGCATGACTCAGATATAAGAAAAGTTCACAAAACTTATACTGATTGCTTCATACCTGATGAGCGTGTTCTTAATATGAATAATCCCGGTAGAAATCACTCTCTATTGCGTACAAATGTATGAATTCATCATCCAACTGAAGAATCACCATTGAATCGTTTATGAGAATACGCCATATTCACCGTAGTTATATTTGGCTGTAAAGTGAATAAATGATTCCAAAACGAAACTAGAGACATAGATGACCGAACAATATTGACGTAAACACACACATCTTCAGCTACTTATTATTCACATAGCGATATTTGTTGGCAACAGTCATACTAATCAAAGATGTCAACTCATGTTTGGGATGATTAATTAGTATTTTGCAAAATGAGCTCTGTTCCAATCATATGAGTAACAAATATCACTCGCGACAAGCCAAACATGTTGTCTATTTGATGCTTATTAAACTTTGGAAGATTCATTGAGGAGGACCGATCGACCTGCCAAGATGTCTACAGCCGAGACGAGATTTTACAATGAAATTCCAGATAATCCAAATAGAAGTAACGCTTTGCCAGCTAATGTCAATATTTATGAAACGCCATGCGTTCGGCAGCAAAAGCACAAAGGTATTTTGAATTGTAGTCTATACGCAGGGCTGCCATAACGTCCTTATTTCTAAGATTTGTGCTTATTTTTAAGGTCTTTTTCTTAAAATTTCCTTCCCTTATTTATTAAAAACGTCTTTATTTTGACATGTTTCATTTTACAAGTAGAGGTTCTGATACCAGGCACTTAGATTTGTCAATTCGAATGATTGATTTGCTAGAAATGATATTGGAACATCATTGATTGCTACCCGCATTCATGGCGTAAGTGAACTGGGAAGTGAGTTGGAACAGATAGTTTCTAAGAATGGAGAACTGCTGGTACAAATCCTTTCTAATGCAAAGTATGATTAGACACGGGTCGCACTGTCATGAATACATTTTGTCTGTTACATTTCGTTCTTTGTAATCTTATTATTACGTTTCTCTGATATACTCATTTTTGGGTTCATATCGACGGCAGCCCTGTCAATACGTGGTATCATTCGTTTCCGACATAGGTTGCTTTTTCAACTAATGGAAACATACTATTATTCCATGTCACATTTCTATAAGCCGCATAGCGTAACTTGCCTTGTGAAATATTTATCACGAAACATGGAATTTTCTAGAAACCTGGACATATTTGACTTTATTACAAAATCCTGTGAACATTCGGTTAATGTTTGAATCTGATATCATTCCAGATACTGAAGACACAACAGTAAAAGGAGGACTGATTGCCCTGGCAATATTTTTATCAATGAATGTTGGGCTTGTTGTTTTCGGTCTTGTGATCATCACACAGGTTAGAAAAATGTACCAGATGTCATTCTATCGATATTATAGCGAGTTTTGCCAAAAAATTAAGAATACACAATGCATAACGAATTGACAGCAAACCCCCTGAAACGGTGGTACTCCCGTAGTATGTGAACCAAAATGGCGGACACCGGAACGTAGTAGGTGTATCAGGTTAGGGTTAGGTCATAATTTCTGGTACAAATACTACGGGAGTCACTTGGCTAGTCCCTGAACTCGTGATAGAACCAAAATAAGAAAAATTGGAAAAAAATTATGTACCGTAACCTGGTACACATACTATGTTCAGGTGTCTACCATCTAGGTTCACTATCACTGAAACTATGTGTGAACATTAAAAACGATTTATTTAATTATATCAACAGCTCCAAAGTGAGATGAAAATTTTGGAAGATCAACTGACACATCAAGGAGACCAGTCATTTGCTAGGTTGAAATGGCTAGAGGAAAATGGTAATTTTACTGTTGTAGAAATGGTTCGACTTATCGAACACGAAGATTAAGAGGTGCCTTCCCCTTTTTGCCAAAAAGCATTTGGAAAATAGCCTCTGTATAAGTTAAAAAGAGAATATGAATCCTAATTAATATAGTTACAAATAGGTAATATAGTTACTTTACAGTTTTCCCGAGAGATTGCACAAGTGTAAAGCATAAATACGCAAACATTCAGAACATCACCGGTGGAGTCTTTGATATTTATCCGGAATCAAGAGCCAAACCTGTTGAAGTTTACTGCGATATTGTAACGGATGGAGGCGGATGGATTGTATGTCATAATCGTCTAACTACTTCTTAATATAATGACTTTCATTTATTTTATGTAACCGAAAGGGCTGTACTCATTTTTTTTTATTATAATTTCAAAACACGTTACCTAGTGTAGTTTTTAATTAAAAAAATTCAATATTTTGTTTTTTTATTGAAAACGGCAACCCGACAAAAAGCAGCATAGTGGACGAGAAAGACAATATATATTTCACTAGCGCCTCGTGATTGTAGTTTTATATTGCAAATTGGGCACTCTCGAAGTATGTGAACCAAGATGGCGGACATTGGAACGTAGTATGTGTACCAGGTTAGAGTTGGGTCATAATTTCAGGTAAAATACTACGGGAGTCACTTGGCTAGTCCCCGACCTCGTAATAGAACTAAAATAAGGAAAATTGGAATAAAATTATGGCCGAACCGTAACTGGTACACATACTACTTTCCGGTGTCGGCCGTTTTCGTTTACATACTTTGGGAGTAGCGAAAATTGTGTATCCGCACAATAGTTACCTAACAAAAACAGAAAAAAAAATGGAGATTTAACAGGTAACCATAAAATATTTATATAACATAAAAACGGACAATATGGTCCGTGACAACAGCTATTGATAATACGCACCCCCATATTTGTGAGACTAAATTTGACCATAAAAGTGCGTATTATACACGGAGAAATACGGTATTTAAGGTGTTTCAAAGACGAATGGACGGAACAGAAGATTTTTACAGAGGATGGAACGACTATGTCAGTGGATTTGGCGAAAAAGATAAAGAAATGTGGTTAGGTGGGTGAAGAGCATGTTGACGATTAAATGTACCAAATGCTAGATAAAACATAGTAAAATACATCGCAAAATTAAACTTTTTCAAATATTCAAAGTGATCATATGTTTCACATTCCACACATTCAGGGCTGGAAACAATCTATCAACTGACTAAAGACGGAAGTTTCGAACTACGAGTTGATTTGGAAGATTTTAATGGAACTACTGTTTATGCCAAGTATGGGTAAGTATTGAATACAGTTTATCATTATAAATTTTGAGACTAAACAATAAAATCTTGGATAATGAACCCGCATCGATTAGAATTAATTAGTCGATCATGATGAAAATTTCCCGCATACATACTGCAATAATATTCACTGACCGGAAACCAATTCTCTCAATCGTCACAAAAATTTGAGTCACTTGCCATACAGCAGTTGGTATTAGTGCGAAGTAAGTTGAATCAGGATCTGATTTTACGGATATTGTGTGTGATGTCCCTAACTACAAGAATACATTTGTTCAATTCAATATCCTTATATTAACGTTGCACAAGATATTTTGTTAAATGATCACTTAACATGCCGCAAATATCATTGTATCAAGCTTTATTTGTTTTTTCAGGATTTTCTCAATCTCATCTGCAAGCGAAAACTATGCATTGTTAGTTGGAGAATACTCTGGAACAGCCGGTGACTCATTGACATATCATACCAATATGCAGTTTAGTACGAAAGATTCTGACAATGACCGAGAGTTGCCCGGCAATTGCGCAATTGCTCGGAGAGGGGCTTGGTGGTACAATCAGTGTTATCACTCAAATCTGAATGGGATGTATTACCAGTACGGGCAAGATACTGTACGATCCGTTAATTGGTATCACTGGAAATCTAATCATCAGTCTCTGAAGTTTAGTGAGATGAAGTTTCGGAAGAAAACATAATTTCCAAATGAACTGAAATACAAAGACTGCATACAAAAATTTCAATTGACCATGTCACTGCAATATCTTACTTTCAGCCTCTTGTGTTATCATACGTAGAATCAACATTTTTTAAGAGAGACTTATTTATTTATTCTCAAAAGCTTTATATGGATGGCATCTCGTTCAATATAAGCTATGTTTAATTTTTACTTTTAAGACATTTTGGATAGCATCAATTAATATACTGAAATAAAGCTGCTAAATAATAAATATACTGAAATTTTTTTTAAAAAATTGTAGAATGTACTGTTTGAAATTATAGCTAATAAGTCACTCAAAACCTGGAAGTAGTAGAAAAAACGGGTAATTTGTGGAGAAAAAAAGCGAAAATTCTTTATTCAGAGCAGTCTGTTGACCATTTATCATTTTATTTATTGTTAGATTCAAAACACGTTATGTGCGGTAAGTTATTGTTCAATAAAATCACACTTGCTGTAAGTATAACAATTCGTATCACTGTTTTGATTATAAAATTCTCCGTTGAGACAAACAACTATTGATAGATCTAATATATTGTATTGATTATTTTTGCTTTATTTGTATCGTGTTACGTCAGAAAAATTATGCACTGACCATCAAAAGCTTACAACAATACTCCCATTTTGCGATGTGAGAATGGAATGGTATTACCGTCGTTTGGATAAATACTATTTAAATTCTATTCCCTTCGTTGAATTTGAATACTCGTGGACCGTCAGTAGTGACCCGCTATTGAGTCTATATTATCATACCTGTGAGTTTTCATAAAGCTCTGCTGTTATAATCACAGATTTATATTACTTTCAGATCGGAAGTTGTTGCCTGATTAAACAGTTAAAAGTATAATTTCATTATTTGTGCAATACAGCATTTTTCCTCTTCATTATTGAACACGAAGTGACCTATATGGAACGTTTTGTTGTTGTTCTTCTCGGTATTCTTTTTTCGTATTTTTATGGAAAAATCGCATTTTAACTTTTCTTTGTTTCAATTTTTAATCTTTCAGCCTACTTAAAATATTATCAAAATGTTTTGTTTCTGAATGAAATCAATTTTATGATATGAAATTAATCCTTAGTTTAGCCCCATGTATACACAATTATTGAAACTCCAACATTCACAATACCTCCGCGACCGCTCACCTTGATAGGATGTTTGTCAATCTCAAATATTTGACGTCTCAAATACGGGAAGATTATTGAGTAAAATGTAAAAATAGCTGAAAGTGAATGACGTGTCGCCGAAGTCAAACTTTGTATGGCCTTCGAATAGAGGGCTACGGAGCTGTGCCCCAATAAGCTATTTGAAAAACTCATTGCACAGCTTAACCTCTTGATGACGTAGCACCCCCACCAAAACACGCAGTGCAATGGATATGCCTTCAGATAATGCTTTAATAAACCTAGAAAATAATATCAAGCATCTTTTGATATCCGTCACATGCCTTCTACGTATTTCTATAAATGATGCCATATATTTCTATTCTGTAATCAGATAGTTAGTTATCAAGATGTCAGCTGCAGAGACAGAATTTTGTGGAAATTTTCTGCAAATGGGGACGACGCCGAATGCAATCGAAAACTTCTACGAAAACGTAGAGCCGCAGCCAATGAAGAGCAAAGGTATTTTATTCCCAAACATATATTTTAACGGAGGGTACAAAGTTGAAACAGAAGTTCAACGTTTCGAAGCTTATCTCGGCTAATTGTATACTGAATACTGTACTTTGCCAGTACAGTTTGTGACCAAATTTTAAACTATTTCCATTTGATTATTATAACCAACTATTGCACAGGGATTTATATAGTTCTATTCTCTTATATGTTTCGTTGGGCTCTTGCAAGTGGGTTGAAAATCATTGCTCTCTCTAGACCAGTGGTTCTCAAACTTTTTTAGTCTCAGAGCCGCATTTCAAACCTCAAAGCTGTGAAGAGCCGCACACAAGCAACGCAAGGTAAAATAACAACAAACCTTAAGCGCGTAGTTAAAATACCAAGTCCTCGTAACAATAACACACCTAACAACTAAAGCTGGGCAAAATATTCGAATGCCATTTTATTATTCGAATATCCGGTACCACGTGACCTGCGCCGCTCTGCTTGGACACCGAACTCGCGCGTCTCCAACTCAATCGTGAATTGTGCGAGATTTCCCTACGCCGCTCGCTATCAGAAAAAAAAGACAAATTTGAAAAGTCGTTGTTTTTGCGTTATGGTGTTATATGCTTATCTTCGCACTTAACGTATCGTTTCAATATATTATTTTGCAAAAAAACGTATCGACCGTTCCGTAAATTTAGAAACGTCAAATCAGATTAGGTATTTAAAATAAATTTCCCAGATTTTAAACACCGCATGCTTGGTGACATATCATTAGCCATTTCTTGCATTACCGAACATAAATTTGATTGAAATTAAATGTTAAAATGACTTTTCGGTGTTTCATTGTGAAGAAGGCAATTTTAGAACACTCTAGTTATGTAAATAGCATGGATTTAAAAATGACCAGAAGTTTTTCCAAAAGCTGGTATGAGTTACTTGTATGAAAAACACTCATTAAATTGTAACCAGATAAGAAATGTCATGGCCTACTCCCTTTAAAGCACTTTGCATTAGCTCTTTAGTGATCCCTTCCATCCTTGGCCAAGTGATGTTTCGAATATGTAACAATGTACTCGGCCATACATGGCCGTTGAGCCAAGAGTAAAACGTAAAATTAATCGTGAATTTCGTTGTGACAATGCACACTGACTCGTTCACGAATTGTTGCGTCTATTATCATCGAAAATGATTACAATTGGTAAATTTCGTAGCAATTGGGCAGTACTAATTAAGTCTTATAGCATGACATAATCAAAATCATTAAGTGAAGTGGTGAATTTGCAAATTCCGTAAAGAAAATTGAGCATTACTCAGTAAGTATTTTAGCTATAATAACCATCGGGGTGTTGTTTTGTTGAAAAAAAAACAAACTTAAAACTTTAGAGAATTAGCGTCTCACCCTCGATTAGGCACAAAGGCCTAGGAATGCTTTTATTGCCAATTTATTTAATCGCTTTTTTTAAATCAACAGTCAGGATTCACGCAATCGTAAATTTGCTAGGTTTATCTATCTAATACTAAAATAACACGAACACCATAGGAGAGCACGAGAAACTCAAGAATCGTTTTAATAAATATCTGCATCTCGGTTATCGTTCACTTTAAACAGGCACGGTTAATTTACAAGCGTTGATAAGGAAGATCAAATCCAAGACAGGGAATAAAACTCAGAATAAAATTAATTTGGTTTAGAAAATCAGCCCTTAATGTCAGTGGCCGCCCGTCAATAGAGCCAACCGGGGCAATGCCCCGGTTGTTTTTTCGGTATAATGAAAAATATTCGAAAAATACCTCAATATCGGTTGCACAGACTGTCTACACTAGCCATATTCTCCCGACATGGTTCATTTTTCGCTCGCAAAGCCTTCGCCGAACGTCGACGGGGTGACGCCGATTTTGCCCCGGTTGCTCATTGTATATCGTATTCTCTCTTTTATCTTCCACTCGCCGCGTTTGTCTCGTTTGTTTTCTGTTTCTTTTACTAAATCATCGGGGCCGCTCGGGGCTAGCCCCGAAATTATGACGACACAATGCCGACGTTTCTTACAACAACGTGTTGACATATTCACGCATTCCTTCTCGTTCGTTGGTTGCTGAAGACTGTCCCTCCGTGGGCACGATGAACGGGCTGGCTCTTCTAATAGAGGGGTATTTTTGGATATGGTGGAATACACCGCATCCCTAGATACAGTATTGAGAGATCATCTTGATGCCGCAACTGTTTCGAAAGGGACATCTAAGGATATCCAAAATGATTTGCTCGACTCAATGTATAAAATTTATTTTCAACATTTGGCTCTGGAAATTGAGAATTGCCAGTTCCTTTCGATTCAGTCTGACGAGACAACTGACATCACGTGCGTTTCCCAACTGGCTGTGATTTTTCGGTTTGTGAAAGATGGTAAACCTACCGAGAGATTTCACAGCTTTGTACCAATCGTTGATCGCACGGCTTGCGGGATATCGGCTGTACTGGAAGAAGTGTTACAGCCTTACAATGCGAAGTCAAAATTGATAGCTCAAACTTATGACGGCGCGGCAGTCATGAGTGGGTCGAAACATGGTGTTCAAGTTTATATAAGAGAAGATTTTCCTCATGCGCATTTTTTACATTGTTATGCACACCTATTTAAGCTCGTTATTAAAAATATGTGTCTTGATACCCCTCTCGTCCGTATATTTTTTGCAAATGTTTCGGGGTTTTCTTCATTTTTTTCCGTTTCGCCGAAGCGCTCTGACCTCCTTCGCCAGATATGTAGCCGCCGTCTCCCAGCTTGTGCACCTAAACGTTGGAACTTCCAATCACGCGTGGTGCAGGGCGTGTCCGAAATTAGGTCTGAGCACATTGAGTGTTTCAATGGCATTCAGAGCTCTCCGGTTTGGGACGAACGCTCTGTGAGGGAGGCGGAGGGTCTAAAGCGTCTGCTAGAAGATGGTGAGATTTTTTCTCCACAATATTCTATCACGTGGATGTATTATACGGCGCATTGCAGTCAAGGCTAATGGATGGAGCGTCTGTGCAGTCGTGTATTTCAGACTTCTGCGATGCTGTATCTCGTATCCGTGAAACAATAAAATACGACGACACATGGAGTGCTTCTTTACGCCGCGGGCAAACAACGCAGCGTTTGATTTTGTCTGCAAAGGAATGCTGTGACATTCTGGTGAATCAAATAGGCGATCGTCTGCGCACTGAACACCTTGCCGCGTTCTTTTTGATGAACCCCAAAAAATTTTCAAAATTTGCACGTCAATTTCCCATCCATTTGTTGGCTACTGTCTCCAAATTTTACCCCACGATAAACGTGGGTAAATTGGAAAATGAATTGCGATGTATATACACCAATCAAACTTTTTTGAACATCACATCAACTTGCGCGCTCTATGGGTTCCTCATAGATAACACTCTAGTAACTACTTTTGCGGCGTCTGCAAAATTTCTGGACATCATTTTGACGACGCCTATTTCTTCCGCCGACGCAGAGCGAACATTCAGCACGCTGAAGCGTATTAAAACGTATCTCAGAAACACAATGAAGCAAGATAGATTAAATTCCTTGGCTGTTTTATCCATTCACAGAGACGTTATTTCTGGGATGCATGACTTTAATCAGCGCGTTATTGAGCATTTTGCTTCCAAGAAACCGCGGCGTGTTGCATATATGTTCAAGCAGTAGAAGTCTAGCAGCATATATCTATATCTATGAGTGAGCGACGCATGTCCTTATCTTTGCATTAACTTTCCTTTCTTCATAGTAACGTTTTAAACCTTATTTTAGGTTTTGTCTGCTTTCCCGAAGTTTCTGTTAATATGTCATTGTATTTATCTGGGGAAATATTGCCTTTCCTTTTGAAAGAGGTTTCAAAATAAACTATGTCTATATTTATTAATCCCTTGACTTGGACCGGTTTTAAAGACACTTTCTTATCGTTAAAAATTGTCGCTTTTGCCGATTGGTTGTTACCGATGGAATGGTTTTTATACTCACAAAATGATGGGAGAACTTACAGCGCTCATCCTGTCCCCGTAGATTGGGATGACTTGGTCCCGCAGTAGCTTGCCCCGGTTGTCAAAATGACCACGTGCCGCCACTGCATTTTTCGTTGATAAAGTCGGCTCTTTTAACAAGTGGCGTAATCGTGGCGACTGTTCCGCGTGGATTTCGAGGCGGTGAATTTGTATTTTTGATTTACTAGTATACTTTATAATTATTTTCATTGTATGAAGTAAAATTGTACTATATGGGATTTTATATCAGATATCGAGATTTTTGTAACGGCGATAACGAGTTCGGAAGATTGCGAAAATACGTATCAAAATTAAATACATCAGGCAGCCTATCTCATATTTTTATTTCCCCATATCGCCGTGGTACTTTAGTTTAGTAATATTTTTATTTTGACCTAAGAAGTCGCAACCGCGAGTTACGCTGCACACAATTAAATTAATATGTAAGGACATTTTAGAATCTCGTGGCTGTCATGGATCGACAGAAAAAACATTATACGCTTAAATAGGCGGCTCTTTTAACTAGCGCGTAATCGCGGTGCTTGTTGCAGACGGCAATGGGAAGTTCCGACCTCAAATTTGTTATTTTCTGTTTGTTAGCAAGAGCCGTGGGCTAATTCTCGCGGAATTCAAGAAATTGGTTCAGTGACGCGCAAGTTCCGTGTCCGAGTAAAGCAGCCTAGGTAATCGATATATGAGTAGCAAAATGACATGCTAATACTTAGAGAATGACATCGACAGGTTATTGCTACGTGACGATACACGGCGCGGTGTTTTTCGGTAGGCGATCCAAGTTCGCCCCCCCCCCCCAAAATTATGGAAAGTGTCCGCCCCTGTCATCAGGGTGACTTTGCTCGATAACCTTTACTGGTTTATCGCGTCTCCGTTCACACTGAAACGTATTTTTTTTTTTATTTGCTTCGTAATTATGTTTGTCCATTGTGTACTTTTGGTATGTGATAAAATAAACTACTGACTGAGTACTTACGACGACAGCGATGCCGAAGATTATATCGATGTTTCCGAAAAAAGACTGGAAGAAGAAGAGCAAGACTTATCGAAGTAAATGCTGGGTATTCACGACGGCATCAAATAAAATGTTTTTCAAGATGCTTCCAAGGGGAGTGGGGATTTGGGTCGGTCCCTTCGAGAGCTCAAGACCGAAATTAGCGCATGGAATAATTAAGTCAACCACCGGCGGCACGATTACAGTCACAGGAAGGGTGCTATAGTACAGATGCTTCGAAACGAATAAATAACGATACATCGTAATAACTATCTACAACCAGTTACAAATTGTTCCTGTTGACCTCCCTACCAATGTTATGTATAGACATAGTCGCCTCGGACAGCATCTCTGCTATACGAAGTAGCCTATGTGGAATGAATCAAAGACCACACTAAGGAACGTTTTGTGAAAAAAACACTTGAATTAAAGCTGCCTTGTGATGCCCATGTGCAAACTCTGAAGAGGACCTTGTTTGGTATTACTATCCATAAAAAAAAGATTAGGTTCTTTTTGGCAGCGTCCTTTCGCAGTCAGAAGATGCTTCTCAAATCACAGTCATGAGATACAACAGAATCCTGGCGATGAGATACAGGTGGTACATGTGGATTAATTGCGACCTTTTATCCAGGAGGAAACACAAGAACAAGATGATTGCTTAGATGGTAGCCAAGAAGATGCAGATTCCAAAGAAGACACACCAAAAAATGTTAAACTTCAATCTGATCAGGAGGTAATACCCTGGTACGAGTTGGCGTACCCAGAAAGATATACTTTAAAAATTTCCAAGCGTGAGCGTAGGCAACGCAACCTACCTATTTTAAAGACTTTGTATAAATATTCTTGTTTGCTATGATTACTGTTCATTTGTTACTTAAAATTTACTAATCGAGATGGCGCACTAGTGCGCTACCGCTTTTGTAGTAGTTTTCTTCAACAAAAGAATACTAGGTACAGTATAGCGCCCTAATGCCTATTCACCCACTAAGCGTTGAATGGAATAAGACTTCCTAACTATTTTGTTGTTTTATATCATGGGTGGAAAACTACTCTGTCGGTAGAGGTTAAGGTCCCGAAGGTGAATTAACGCGAAACAATCAGAATAAGTTTTTAAAATCAGATAGTTGGGGGCATTCTTACATAACCGCTAATAATGAACGATGATAACTGAAACAAAACAAATTTGTATGCAACCCGTGCTACTTAAAATGAACTCTGATGAAACATCTACCTGATTTTTATGATTTAACAAACATCGTGACCTAATAATTAATTTCAAGAACTTTCCATTGTTGAATTGAATTTTTTAATCTCTCTTGGTAATCCATACATACAGACATAATAATAAACCCTCACTTTGCACAGCGTTGGTCGCGTGTGAATCTACTATCAGTTCTCCATTTCTTTCCAGTCGAAGCATGGCAAACCTAATTTTGCATAAAAAATAAAATACTGCCGTATTGTTAATCTCATAAATATTGTGGTTCAAATTCTACCGATAGGTAACCAACAACTTCCGATCCGGAAGTAATATAAATGAGGAATTATATTCGTCATCAGTTTGATACAAATTAATAGCCATGAGGATAGTATAAACTATAGATTTGCAACTCCAATATAACAGTCAAACAAACATCTCCAAAGAACTAAAAACACGACCGGCCGGGTCGTACTCACTCAAATATAACAGTCAAACAAAACATCACCAAAGAACTAAAAACACGATCCTTTCTCCGGAACAGCGGCCGGAGAATGAGAGCGAAAGTCATAGTTTTTCTCTCACGTGTAGTAGGTGATCGGAGTCCAGATCCGACAAAATACCATTGAATAAGGGTCAACATAACAATCTTTGAACATAAAAATATATATACACACAATATAAACGCGGACGCTATGGTCCGCGACACTATCTTTAACAAAGTATTCATTTTTCGATTTCCTCCCTATTATGTTGTTCATTAATAAATAATATTGAAATCAACTAAAATCTTGTAAGTAAGTAATAAAAGTGCTAATACGGGGTGTACTAGGATAGTTGTGAGTTATATAAGAAAAACAAAGAACACGTTTGGATCAACAGACTGAGAACCCGACAACCACGAGCAATCGGCGTAGAAGACTGAAACTCAAAGAAAAAGATTCTAAAACAAACAACAACAAAACAAACAAAAAAGTTCAAAAACAAACACTGGAACATCTACAAAGGGTCGAACCTGTAACTACTCAATGTTATTCTTTTAGACAGCACAGTAGAGACGAACTCAACCCATCCATCTATGATATTTTAGATTTTTAATATATTATTTTTAACTGACTATTAATCTTTATCATTTGCAGCCATATCTTGTTTTATCTGAAGAGGTTTGACTATGATCTAACGAAAGCTCATAAATATACTTACTATTTCGTGGGAAGAGATTATGTTACTCATAAGTTTTAAAAGTAAGAAAAAGAAGCTTACAAACATTTAAAATTGAAGGTGACAGGAGAAAGATTTCGAAACAAGAAATAAATCCTAAAACAATGAATACATTATAAACAGTGGTGGGATTCAAATTTTTTGTCAGCCGGTTTCGTCACAAAAGTCATATTTTTTAGCCGGTTCTGTTACAAACAGGACATTGACAGTAACCAGTAATGCTAACCGGTTCGCTGATCTCATTAAATTCCGTGAGACGACGGTTCTATAAAACCGGTGCGAACCGGCTGAATCCCACCACTGACTGACTATTGGTGTAACTAACTGACCGAGAAAATGGAAGCGCACCTTAATGTGAATCAATTTAATCGTTTACGAGATATAGTAATCAGATATAATATAATAAAGAAACTCCCCTACGATGAATAAATAGAGACAACAATCTTCATTACAGTGCAGTCAAGAGGAAAAAAGTTTAAAAAGAAATCAAATTATCAATCAATGAAAAATAGTGCTGAATGTCATTACTTGAATAAATAAAGGGAAATAAATATAATTTCTAAATTGAAATCATGGACCTTCCAGAGTTCCAGTGACCGGAGTTTTCAATGAAAATGCTATGGGATCAATAAATGTTTGGTATTGAAATATCGCAATGAAATAGCAAATTGAAATCTTCGTATTCCTCAATGCTTTTTCAGTTTATTAGAAAACTGTCTTTTTTTCTGAACTTCATCTCTGTGAACTTAAGGGATTGATGTTTTTGGAAGAAATACCAATTAACCGATTTAACATCAGTTTGTCCATCTTGATAATAGAACCCGTTCAGATTTGAGTAATAGCAATTTCTGTACCACCAGGCTCCTTTGTATTTCTTTGCACAGCTGTCCGACGACCATCCATCATTATCAGAATATTTTGTAGAAAACTGCATATTGTTATGTTGTGTAAACGAATCTCCAGCTGTTCCATTATACTCTCCAACTAGCAATCTATAGTTTTCACTTGCAGATGCGATAGAGAACGTCCTGCAAAAACAAATGAATCCTGATGTAATGATATTGCTGACAGGCTACGTATCAATTAAATATTTTTTATCGCGTTTCTAATAGTTAGTGCTGTAGCGCAAACCCTCATACTTGACGTATGATTGAAATTTTGTAGCGGTACGTCAATCATATATAAATATGTTGTACAGATCTATTTAATACTTCTTATTTTCATTTATAGTGACGAATTATTTTTTTTATTATTTACCCATATTTAGCATAAGCTGTGTTTCCATTGAAATCTCCCAAATCAACTCTTAGTTCGTAACTTCTGTTTTTAGTCAGTTGATGGATGGTTTCCAAGCCTGAACGTAGAAAATATAATACACATGAATTGCTGGCTGCATTGCATGCCCAAGGTCAAGTGGGCTATAGTTTTTAAGTAATAATTACCCAGAACTCTACAAACTGGGAACCCAACTATCTGAACCACATTAGAAATCATATGTCCGAACGGGCATATTCGCAAGCATGGCTAAGAAACATGATAGATAGCTGGCCTGGCTCCAAGAATAACAACTGTTTTAAACGAAATAGACAAAACTGCAAAACATTTGGTGGATTCTGCTGCATAGATATGTTCTGTTATTAGTTCATTACAATTTGCTACTTAATGATCGGAGCTCAAAAGAGTTTGATGGCCGCTGGACACAATAGATCAAGTTCGGAGATTTACATTTTATGCCCAAATGAACTACACCCACCTAACCACATTTCTTTATCTTTTTCTCCGAATCCATTGGCGTATTCGTCCCATCCTCTGTAGAAGTCTTCTGTTCCGTCCATTCGTCTTTGAAAGACCTTGGAAATATACCAAGGGGGGTCAAGCCTGGATTTTCAACCTCGAAACACCGTCAATATTACGTCATTCTTTTGGCGGCAGTTACTGATGCCAGATCATTTTATGAATTTAGAAGATTTATTGTTTTACTTTTCTTTTAATTTCGTTAATTGAAATTTCCTGGCATTTTCCTTCTAGATTGAGAAATGATGGGGCTACTCAGTACAAGTGAAAGCATAGGGTTTTCGCCAAAAAGTTCTAAGATGTTTAATAATGCAACATGTTATCAGAGCTAGCAGAAAAATATTATTTTTTTTCTAAGGTCATTATATTAGAAAGTAGTTGGATACATGTAACATACTGTCCATCCGCCTCCATCAGTTGCAAGATCGCAGTAAACTTCGAAAGGTTTGTCGCTTGATTCTGAATAAATATCAAAGACTCCACCGCTGTTGTTTTGGGTTTTTGCATTTTTACGAAATACAGTTGTGCAGTCCTTTGGGAAAACTGTAAAAAAATGTATTCAGTACTTTAAAGGCGTTCAAAATATCGTTTACCACTTCTTTTCCCAATATAGCCGTCATCCAGTGGTTGATAAACGTTTCAGAGTGCAGGGGTTTTGCGGAACCCTAGGGTTCCGCAACACATGTGAGTTTATGGGGTTCCACGAAAAGGAAAATTGACTGCTGGGCCAGTAAAGTCAATAATTAATCAATAACTCGCTAATTATACGACATAATTCGCCCAGATACAATAGGCTTCTGGTCCGAGATATGATGAATGCACATGCAAAATCTGGAGTAGATTCAATCTCGCTTTCGTGAGATATCGCGTGCATCTAACAGACATACATACATACAGACAGACAGAACAAATACCTATCAACATACTTACCGATTAAAATCGATAAGTAACAAAAAAGAAGTTGTTTAAAGAGTGTAGACATGAGTATGAGAATTGCTTTGAGCGCCGTGGAGCCACGATTCAAGAAGATTGCAAAGGAAATGCAAGACCAACCTAGTCATTTAATTTCACGCTTGTTACCTTCTTTTTGTTTCGTTGTTGAAGTAGAACTATTTGAATTACAAATATTTCGTGTTACGAGTATTTCGTGTTTTATTTTTGTTATTTGGGGTTCCCTAAAAAATGAAAAATTATATCAGGGGTTCCGCAATAACAAAAAGGTTAAAGAGCACTGATATAGACCCATCACTTATGGTATTTTAAAAAATATTCCGATTCACTACTTAACCTACGTTCCTGTATCTTCAATTGTTGGTGAGAACAATTCAGACTTGACGTGATTTCAATACATTGATTTAATCGGATTTGCTGTTCGTTGAGTTTGTTGTGAAATGCCTCTGACTCTGCAAAAAGATTGCACTATTTTAAAACATTGCAGCAGTGATATCGATTTTTGTTATTTTTCATTCGCTGAGTAGGAAATATAAACGGCGAACAAGCCAAGGCTAAACTCGGAGATATAGAATCTACAAGACCACAGATAGTCACCAACTACGATTGAATGAGGCATGAATGAAAAAGGAATAAAAATTTGATCATTACTCTAGAACAGGGGTCACCAACACGTTGCCTGCGGGCACCGTGTCGCCCGTGAAGGCCATATGAGTCGCCCGCAGGTCTGTTCCAAAATAAGCTTAATAACGGCGCTTATGAGTAAACTAATTATTGTGATGATCAACTTGATTTGTATTTGACCTCAGTAATATGACGAGGCATTTATTACTATTCCAACTATGACATCACACTAATGTCATCTTCTACAAACACGCGCTCTAGAGTCTAGATCTAGAGTTCTCGAACTTTTTGAGCCGCGCCGCCCTTTGAAAAATTTTACAAACTTCGCGCCCCCCCCCCTCTTTTTTCTTTGAAAAAATGCTTTCGTGATGGACAAGTTGTTATATATTAAGATGGCGCTATAAATGAGTGTTGGTCTCGTAGCGTCATTGCTCAGATTGCTTAGGCATAAAACGCTTCGGAGTACAACTTCGCCATTCACTGTCGTATGTATCAAGCCAAATAGTGGTTGGTCATCATAAATTCTTGTTTTTTCGCTCAATTTGCAATACTTGGCAAAGTCAAACTAATTATTAAGTAAAACTAAACAAGCAATAAACCTATCCTTTAATTTATTTTCTGCTTAAACGTTTACATAAGACACGTAAAATTTCAATCAATTGTTGTCGCTAAGGCGTTTGCGATTTGTTTGAATCTCCATTTTTTACGTTAGCGTGGGGTGGTATTTAAGCCCTAAAAATCTTGATTTTGGTGTTTATTCTTCCTAAATTTCCCTCGACATATTCTTGTGCCGCGAAGACGATCATAATTACTTTTTTGTTCTCGAATGGAACCATGACACCTCTGAGGAAAACGAGTTAGTTTTTATTATAATCATCAGCGACGAGATGCTAAAGATAGAATGAGGAAGTGAATCCGTAACTAAAAAATTTGGGATTGTAAAAGTGGCGTTATAAAATACTAAAAATAAAACGGAAAACGCCAAGAGTTTTGTTTTGGGGTGGACCGCGTCGGATTAAAAACACTTTCTTAGACATTGAAAATCTCATAAATTCCTTGTGCGTGCGCCACACCAGTAGTGTTCTAAAACTACAGACTTGATATAAATTTTACTCCGTGGGATCGCAGACTTAGGAATAACTGTAATGGTGATATCTTGAAATTATTCGAGTGGCCGAATTGCGATAGAGCGGAGTGAGAGATGCAGGGACAGCTCATATTGGTGAAATTGGTAAGAATACAAATCAAAACAAAATGTAATCGACATTTTTATGGTTGCGGATTACCGTGTTATTTTGGAGTACTTTATCGACGCAATCGCAGATTTAATTTATCACGATTAAATGAATAAAGCAACCATTTTAAATAAGTATATATCAATCATGGATTGAATATTTTATTCAACAGAAAAACCATTACATATCCGTTGAAAAAGTCGGCTCTTTTAATGATTGGCGTAATCTCGAGGACTGACTCAGAAGCCGTACCGCGGGGATTTTGTTTCGATGAATATGTATTTTTCATTTACTAATATACTTTACATGTATTTTAGTTGTACTAAATTAAATATACTTTTTGGGATATTATACCAGATCTTTCTAATGACGACAACGAATTCACATGAGTGCAATATATATAAAAACTAAATACAATCGGGCTATTTATCACACTTTATTATTATGTCCGCGGATTGGCGTGGTATTTTAGATAGGTAATATTTTGTCGTGAGTCGCCGCAACCGCGAGTTACCTCGAACACAAATGAATTAAAATAGAGAGACTTTTTGAATTATTGTAGTTATTACGAGACAGAAAAATTTATTATAACAGGAAAAAGCCGGTATTTTTAACGAACGCGGAGACCGTTTCAGGAGCCGATACATGTAAATTTACGATTCCATCTTGTGACCTCTCGCGCCCCCCTGTGAGCCAGTTTGAGAACCACTGGTCTAGATTATAGGCCAATAGTTAGCCCCGTAAAAATGTTCCCGATTTTTCATTTAAACCCACCTTGTATCACTGATATCACTAATTGATGGAGAGAATGATTCAGGCTTGCAACTGACTGATTCATTTGGATCTACGTTTCAATAAGTTTGAGAATAAGCACTTCTGAGTCTGCAAAAATACAAGTTATGACTATATGGCCTTCATTTTGGTGCAGTGCAGATTGAGACGTTGGCTTACTAACAAAATATTATTTACGGCAGAAGATTGGTAAAATTACGTCGTTCAGAAGCTACTGCTATTACATGTGATTGGTACTAACTCTGATTTTAATGAAATTATAGAATATTAGGCAACGCGCTGTTCGCTACTTAGATGGAGACCGGCAACAAAACGATTTGATCGATCAGAAAGATTCGACGTATTTTCAAAATGATTCCTAATAAAAGTATACCGAGAAAATTAGAAAAATTGATAGCGTTTACCACAGACAATTTTTGTGTTATCATATTGCAAGTACTGCAGTAATACTAATTACACAAATAAAAATTAACATGTTTTATCGATGTTGCAAGTTGCTGAATAAAATGATTAAGTGACTTTTCCAGAGTTCCGTGAGACTGGTTGAGACTCCACATGTCTTCAAGAGATTTATTAAATTGCCCCGCCAGTTCCGAAAAAGCATCAGAATCTATGACAAACATAGATATACAGTGTGACTCAAAAAACGAAGCCCATGCCAATTGAAACATATAGTATATATAGTTTCCGTTTATGGTTCACCCAATAGGTTGGGGTTGGTACTGGTTAGCAATGTCACATACTGTATGTTTACGAACGAATCCTGTTTAAACGCGTATTAGCATGTTTAGCACGTGTATTCGAAGCGTCGTCAATACTATATTTATGAAATATCTATGAATAACAGTGGCACCAGCGTTGAAACTAGGAATCTTTCGTGAGATGTCCCCACCAAAAACCGCTACCGTTAAATTTACAAGTCATTTATAGTTGGGACTTCGCAAGCTGCTGGTTGACCACTCATGAATCTTTATGTTAGATATGCTAGAATTCATACATGAAATCCAAAAAATGTTATGCAGCAAGATTATTTACCCCTATTTATTACATCTACATCAAGTTCTACGAGGATTCGTTGTTTGAATAATAAAGCACATACTGTTACCTTGTGTTACCCAAAGCTCCAGCTGATCCTGAGAGCGATTTAGTAATCAGTAATTTATTTTTTCACCATACTGAAAACACACTGGATATACAAAAAATTACAATAAATATGAAAAATACGTTTCAGGGCGAGGGAAACCGCGAAAACCCAATATAGGTTATCGAGCAGTGGCAGCCTTAAAATAGTCTAACAGATATTAATAATAACAAAGATTCGAACTATATATGTTATTTGAAGAAAACAATAAATACGTCTAAGCAATCCTGGTGTTCCCAGGATTCGCGCGTTTAACAACTATAAAAAAAAGACTCCGTGCACTCAGATTCTGGGTGACTATGACAATAGCGTCTTGAGCCAAAGTCACAATGGTACAATATAGATTTATAGAACATTGTACTTTCGATATAGTATGGCACGGGGTTACAGTGAACTGAATGCCATAAGCACAAGTCCTGTCGGTTGTAAAGTAATAACGAAGTGTGATAGTAGTAACGAACTGTACCGGTACATTCCATGGAAGGAAGAAAACGGTACCGGTACTTAAATCTGTGCTGGGGTTTAACACACTGAAAATGTAAAATCAGAATGAACATGGACTACAGTATTCAAAAATTAAAGGAAGGATTGAATAGCATGTGATACTTGATTAAGTGACGAGATGCCACTTTATATAAAACATGGGGAAAAAAAACAAAGGCAGATTTATGAAATTGTAGAATATGGTTAACATTATAATAATATTATTAGGGGTATAATGACTGGATATCAGTAATCTGGCTGCCTGTAATGGTTGTTACCAGAGACCCAGATCTTAGCAGCCTCAAACATATATGTTCAACTATATATTATCACTATTCATAACTTATAGGCTACTGGCCAAGGTTGTTCTGAAGAGGAATACATAAAAATCAATTCATAGTAGTTGACAGGTAAAAGAATGTCATGGTGAGTAGAGACAATATAATGTCTGATCATATTGTCTGCTTGTATTGGCAGATATCAAGACAGTTGTCACTGAATGGGAGTAAATGACCTAAGTTATTTGTTTTAGGTCAATAATCAAGCTTAATACTTAAGTTCTAGCTTATCCCCTGATATATTGGTCAAGGTTGAAAATTCTGTGAATACTTGTTGTATGGCTGATGCCATGCAACATGCACAGGTAAAAATATTAGTACAAATGTTATAAATTACACAGGGAATTCAAAGAGTATTTATTTCAGGTACTCTGGATCAAGTCATCGTTCGAGCTGGCAATGGCGAAGAGAGTTTCTAATCCACATTAATCGGATGTGAGGATAACAGAAGGGTAGAGGGAAAGCATGAATTTCTTTTATTTACTCTGAAGGTGTCATAAGATGACTGACGTAGGCTATGGGGAATGCTATTCCAAATTACAACACCCTTATATTTTCAAGGAGTTCTGGCACTTGTCTAATGTAAATCGAAGTAGAAATAAATTGAAATTGCTCAAAAAGCGAGTATTATGCTCATGCATGTTACTAAGCGAGACGAAATAGTCGGAAAAAGCTGTGGGCAATTGATAATGATAATTGTGGAATTGATGCATAAGTTTAGAAGTTAGTTCTAGCTCATAAATATCAGACAATTTAAGAATCCTGGTCTTATGGTATAGAATACTTAAGTTAGAACAAATAGGCGCCCTAGCTAGAGAGAATTCTAACAGCCCTATTCTGTAAAGTCTCTAATTTATGCAAGCTTGTTTTGGTAGCGGATGTGAAATGTTTTCCAGGTATAGTTAATGTGAGATTGCTGTTCAGTCAGTTTTGTGTGTAAAGAATCAAAATCTGCAATATATTTGGAGAGTTAGAAAATTCTAAAAAGTTTGTGCCAGAAAAACCTTAACTCGTGAGGTCTTCTAAAATTCCGCTATATTATTTTGCACCCACGTCCATTTGCACCTATAAACTGCACACGTTCAAAATACAGATTGTATGCATAGAAATTTGCACCCGCAGTAAGTTGCATATATAAATGACCGCACCAATATATATTCACACCCATGGGCATTTTCATCCGCGGTAATTTGCCCCTGCGATCATTCCCATCCAGAAATGTTCCCGTTTTAGACATGCTCGACTTGTGTGCGACAGCAAGCTTATTAAAACACAATCTTTTACCTTGTATTATTGAAAGTGACAATTGCTCCTGTGAACGATTCAGGTGCAAAATGGTTTCAACGGTGTAGTTAAGTTGAGCTTGCTGTTCAGTCAGTTTCGTCAAGGAATCCAAATCTGCAGTATATATTAGTTTATTTTTACATCGCAGTTTCACTGAGAAGTAAAATTCGGTAATTTTCTATGCATGATTTACTTCTCATTCTCTTGTCAGAAAACTGATCGGCGGAAGAATTGTTTTGCGGCGTCTGTTGTCTTCTCAATAGTTTTATTTCGTCCTGCATCTGTATAAAACAAGTCAATTTTCTACCCGTCAAAAAGTCAATTTCCTGCAATGTGGAAATTGAGGGTACAATACTGGGTTGGGCTCCAACCCTGACATGGGCGAAGCACGGTCCGCGGGACAAACCGGCCCGTTTGTTACTTCAATCTGGCACACCTGATGCTGCCACAACCAAACTAAAACCAAATTTTGATGTTTTAGCTAAAAAAAAAAGAGGAAAGGCTTAAGGATTTTATTGAGATTGCGATTAAATTAATTTGACACAAAGCGTACTGTTTTCCACTACAGTATTGCTTTTGTGACCTTGTAAAAATTGTTCATAAAATGTTACTTTTGCCCGTGGTCCAAAAATGTTGCCCAACCCTGGAACCTCATATATTCAGTTAGCATCGATTTGTAATGGAGAAGTTTGATGATTTCGATGCATATGAATGCGCCTACGCTACTAAACTGACCCGTTCAGACCGGTTATTAAAATAGCAAAATATATTACTCAAAGTTAATAAAAATTAGTTACTTTCAGCTCACCTGTGTTATCATGACAATATTGAAAGTCACAAGTGCTACGATCATTGCCAAGGATATTACTGAAATCACCAGCCCATTTTTGATATTTGTTTTCTTGTTGTCTGCAAAGATTTGAAATTCAATAGTAAAGTTTTAGGATTATTGTCAATTAAACCAAACAATAAAACCCGGGGAGTCGGAAGTGTAACGATCAATCTTTCCCTTTTTAAATCATAATATTGTTATGGGTCATTTAACACCTATCATGACGTCACATAGATGTCACGTGACAAGAGCCCGCGTTTGACCGACTCAGACTCAAGGTCAGCCCGTTGTTTCAGGTTGCGCTTTGCATTTGGCAGCGCCGTTTTAGCTTAGAATATTTAGGTTTCCGACTTTGCTTTACTGCGGTATAGGTCCATTGATTAGTTAGTGAGCGGCACATTTATTTAGTTTATTGTTAATCAAGCATGTTTGTCCTACAGATGTAGACTTGTAGTTGGTAGCCCAAAAAATTCTTTAAATATACGGTATACGGCACACGGAATTAGAATATAATTTACAGCACATCGTATTATCTTTCGTCACTCAATAAAAGAACTGGATTAATTGGTTTCAAATAAATTTAACACATTGCAAGTTGGTGGCAATCATATTGGACGAAGGAATTTAGGAATACAGCCAGCTATATAGTCTACAGGCCGGCCATCTCGGTCGGGACGTATTTGTCGCCTTCAAATATCATCAGGTTAAAGGGCGTCACTTACATCGTTTAAAGAATTTTGTGGCATTGAGTGGACAAGCCACTCAACGCATTTAGGATTGCCCAGGCCACAATTCAAGATTGACTTGTACAAATAAATTTCACTGACTGATTATTGTAAATTCATTTCTCTAATCATATCATTTATGATGGCTTCAAACAGTTCAAGTGCTGATTGGCAAGTTTTTGATGATGCTAAAAGTACTGCATCTAATGGCTCGCATTGTAGCAAGATGTCTAGTGTCAGCCAGCGCTCGGAGCGTGCTCGTTTAACAAAGTTAAAGTTGGAGGAGATGGAGAATGAAGCCCAGCTCCAAAGACGCAAAGTAGAAATGGATCAGAAAAAGGTTGAAATGGAGCAGAAAAAGGTTGAAATGGAGCAGAAAAAGGTTGAAATGGACCAGGCAAAGCTCGAAATTGATATTAACTTGTCACGCGCTAAGGCATCCATGATAGATGAGGAATTAGAATCTCTAGCGTCCGCCAGCCGGGCACCTTCATGTGTAGGTTCTATTTCTTCGTTACGACAAGATGTAACTCAAGTTTCAGATGTGCCTCCCGCAATGCCAAATAATGCATATGGCGAACAAGTTAATGCATGTCTTGATGAAGTTGAACCAGCGTCAGTTTCTCATGAGCACCAGACAAAGCAAACTCCTTCATTTCAAAGTCATCCTAGCCCACCTATTGCGTCACAAACATACATGAACAAAGATTATCTCCCTAGCATACAACAAGCAAATCATCCTTATATTGGTCAGGTTCCCCAGTCGGAACAACAACGCTACTCAGGTGCTGAATACCACTCACCGGGAAGACATAACGAGCAATGTAACATTAACCATACTGCTGCGGACAGATATCACTCAGTCTATCAAGCACCACAAGAGATGCAATATAATTCATCTTTTACATACAATAACATTCTGCAACCTCAACCAAGAAGACAGGAGTCTAAACATGTTCCTGATAGACAAGTTTTTATGCAAGGTAATCCAACTAGCTATAGCCATGGGCCTACACCAGTTTCGGTTGGTGATAACCAAAGTTCCATGAGTCTTGCTGATGCTCTGTATTGCATGGCATCTTCAATTAGACAAGGACCTCAAGAAATAGAAAAATTTGATGGAGATGCGTTGAGTTATCACAGGTTTATTCAAAATTTTGATGATATGTATGATAGTAAAATTGCAGATCCTCGTACTAAACTCAACTATTTGATTGATCAATGTACCGGAAAAGCCAGAAAGGCAATTGAATCTTGTATCATAGTGAAACCACCTTTGCAAGGCTATCTTGATGCACGCTCCATTCTCAAACAACAATTCGGACGAGATTACAAAGTTGTAAACGCATTCATGGATTCACTCAAAAATGGTCCTAGCATAAAGCCACAAGATTCTGAAGCATTATATGATCTTGCCACACAAATGCGTAATTGTGGTATCATTTTGACGAATTGGGAACATAGCTCTAAGCTTGACAGTCAAGATCTGTTTGACAAAATCTATTTACGACTTCCAGTACCAATGCAAAGAGAGTTCACAAGACATCATACATCTACTTACAATAGTGACAAAGAACCAACATATCATGATTTGTATAAATTTGTTAATCAATCTGCAATATTGGCAGATACTAGGCTGAGCCGTCTCACTGCAGAGCAAAATTTGAAGAATAGAAATGCTATGCAAAAAAGAGCTATAATTCTACCAAGGTGTCCACTTATGTCACCCAAACATCACAAGTTAAGTCGTCCAATGTGTTTTCGGATTGTTTACTTTGTGATGGACCCCACAGGTTGTGGAAATGTGAATCCTTTATCAAGAAGTCTGTTCCAGACCGTGCAAAGTTTATCCAGTCAAAAGCTTTATGTTTCAATTGTTTTCGTACCAAGCATGTAGCACGCAACTGTCCCAGTGACAACCGATGCAAAATTGAGAACTGCGGAAAATTGCACCATTCGCTTCTACACAACCAAGAACGTATCAGACAGGACAAGCCTTCTGATAGAAATGCAGCAAGTGACACTTCAACTCATGTTGTCAATGGAAGCACTGATGCATCAATTCTCAATTCAAGGAAAAGGGTATATCTCATGATTGTACCAGTTAATGTAACTTCGTCAGATGGTTCACACTCTGTGAAAACCACTGCACTTCTTGATTATGGCTCAAATGCAACTCTTTGTAAGCTAAGTCTTATGAAGAAACTCAAGGTGAAAGGAAAGCAAGATTCTTTCACTATTTCCACAGTCAATGGCCTACATAAGCAAAACGGCTACAGATTGCATCTAAATATTAAGGGTCTACAGGAATCTGACGAGTTTATGTTGGAAGATGTTCTAGCTGTTGAGTCACTTCCAATACTTTCAGATGGACTTCCTACGAAGGCAGATATACAAAGTTATCGGCATCTTAACGGTATCGATTTTCCTGAAATAGGGAATCATGAACCAGAATTATTGATTGGTGCTGATAATTATGAAGCTCTAATAATTCAAGATAGAAGACTAGGGAATAAAGGCCAACCTGCAGCTGTTCATACCCCACTTGGATGGACACTCATAGGCAAAGATGTTTCAAGGGTCACCAATGGTATGTCTATCAATTTTGCTAACGTTGAAAAGGATATTCTTTGTGAACAATTGCAAAAAATGTTTAATTGTGACTTCAGTGAATCCGATTTCACTGAAGAATTTGCACCTTCAATCGAAGATACGAGAGCTTTGTCAATCATGGAAAATTCAATATGTAAAGTTGATGGTCACTATCAAATGAGGTTACCATGGAAATGTGAAGAACCCCAATTCCCACAGAGTTATAAATTTGCAAAGAAACGACTTGATTATTTGAAGAGAAAATTTCAACGTGATCCAGAGTATTTTGATAAATACAAAGAAAAAATTCATGAATATATTGACAATGATTATGCTAAGAAAATACCTGAAGACCATGTCCCATCTGATGAAAGGAAGATTTGGTATTTACCTCATCACTCAACTGGTGAAAAGTTCAGGCTTGTGTTTGATTGTTCATTCAAGGTGGACAATATATCACTCAACAATCAAGTATTACAAGGACCAGACCACTGCTCAAATCTTGTTGGAGTTCTGACCAGATTCAGACAGAAAGACATAGCCTTTGTGTGTGACATAAAAGGAATGTTTCATCAAGTTAAAGTTCATCCTGAGGATTGGGATTCTCTGAGATTCCTATGGTATCCAAATGATGACATTTCAAAAGAACCTGAATCTTACTTTATGACAAGAAGTCTTTTTGGCCTAACCAGTTCACCCAGTGCAGCTGGATATGCTTTAAAAAGAGCTGCAATAGATAATGAAACAAATGCTAATATTGATGTTTTAAATACAGTTAATAATAATTTTTATGTTGATGACTGTTTGAAATCTTGTGATTCTTCTCATTGTGCTATTGATGTCATTAATCAGTTAGATTGCTTGTTATCTAATGTAGGTTTTCATCTTACCAAGTATCGCAGTAACTGCCGGTCTGTTCTTTCTTCTATTTCAGATATAGACAAAGCTAAAGATAGTTTTTTGGATTTAACTCTTGATAAATCATATTGCTCTAAGACACTTGGTATTATGTGGAATAATGTCAGTGACCAGTTCACTGTGAAAGTGGATATAAAGCCAAAGCCTCTCACGAGACGTGGTTGTCTCTCTATGATATCACAAATATATGATCCATTGGGTATGATGCAACCATTCATCTTACCAATGAAAAGCCTCATGCAAACTCTATGTGCTCAAGATATTGGATGGGACTCTCCGATCCCAACCCGATATGAAGAAATATGGCAAAAATGGGTTAACGAGCTTCCGAGACTGCAGGAAGTGTCCATTCCCAGATGTTTCAAACCACCAGGATTTAAGACAGACCACATTGAGCTTCATACGTTTTGTGATGCCAGCCAAGTTGGATATGGTGCAGTAATTTATTTGCGCATGACGTCACAAAATGGTGTTATTCATTGCTCATTTGTTTTGGGAAAATCTCGAGTGACACCCAGAAAGCAGATTACCATCCCAAGATTGGAGCTATGTTCAGCTGTACTCGCAGTGAAGCTCAGTCGATTTGTCCTAAAGGAGTTGGAATACAAAGTCAACAATGTTTGTTACTGGACAGATTCAACTTCTGTGCTCCAGTATCTATCAAATACATCAGCAAGGTATCATGTTTTTGTAGCTAACCGAGTGGCTCAAATTCACAATAGTTCATCGATTAATCAATGGAGACATGTAGACACTAAAAATAACCCTGCAGATGTAGCATCACGAGGATTAAGTCCTAGATGTATCGACAAAGCCATTTCTTGGTTTAACGCGCCTGAATTTCTTTGGCATTCTCAGGAACACTGGCCTAAGCGTCCTGAAGTTTTACCTCAAATTCCTGAAAATGATCCTGAAGTCAAGACTATAATAAATACGAATGTTAATATGGAAAAGGATAATGTCAAGTCTGTATTGTCTATGCTTATGGAGCGCTACTCAGATTATGGGCGACTTCAAAGGGCAATTGCTTGGATAAAACGTTTCACAAATTTCTGCAAAGCAAAGTATTTGCACAAAGTTAAATTTCAAGATATAGGCAAATTAAGTGTTGATGAGCTGGATTATGCCACTCATGAAATTCTCAGAATCACCCAGCGTGATGTGTTTTCTAAACAAATGAAGTATCTTGAAATGAATAATAAAGAACATAGGGTTCCAAAGAGTCAACTTCGTAAAGGTCAATGTCAGTCACTTCAGAATTTATGTCCATTTATCGAAGATGATTTGATGAGAATTGGAGGACGTCTTCAACATTCTTTGCTACCACTTCATAGCAAACATCAAATAATTCTACCTCAAGATCACCATGTGACAAGATTACTCATCAAAAAGTACCATGAGCAAGAGGGACATAGTGGCACATTACATGTTCTTGCAGTCATTCGAGAACGTTACTGGATAATACATGGTCAATCTACTGTTCGCTCTTACCTAAGGAAATGTCTCAAATGCCGCATGCAAAGAGCAAAGGCCGGCAAACAAGTTATGGCACCTCTTCCTGCCAGCAGGGTAACCCCAGGTCATCCAGCCTATACATGGACTGGAATAGATTATATGGGGCCAGTCATAATCAAGCAAGGAAGAAGCACAATAAAGCGATATGTTTGTGTTTTCACATGCATGTCTTCTCGTGCTGTTCATCTCGAAGTTTCACATTCTTTGGAGACCAATTCGTTTTTAAATGCCTTGGAACGATTTTCAAGTCGTCATATCATGCCAAAGGAGATCTACTGTGACAATGCCTCTACATTTGTTGGGGCCGAACGAGAACTCAAGGCTGCAATAAAGAGCTGGAACAATGATAAATTACACAACTATATGCTTAATCGTGGTGTCAAGTTCATCCACTCACCTCCACTTGCTTCCCACCAAGGAGGATGTTGGGAAGAATTATTCGTACAGTGCGTAAAGTTTTGTATGCACTGGTTGGAGAAAGAGTGCTTGATGATGAAGGCCTACAAACGTTTCTGTGCATTGTGGAACGAATCATCAATAATCGTCCTATCACCTCATCCAGTGACGATGCTGCGGATTCTCCCCCTCTAACTCCAAAGATGCTGTTGACGGGTCAACTAGACTCGTCGCTTTCTCCTGGAGAGTTCAACCGAGCAGATGGATATCGTAAATCCTGGAAACTAGTCCATCGCTTAGCGGATCAATTTTGGTCACAATGGATCAAGCAATATCTTCCTCAACTTCAGGCCAGACAAAAGTGGCTCCATCCCGAAAGAAACTTCAAAAAGGGCGATTTAGTTCTCGTTGTAGATGAGAACACCAAGCGAGGCTTATGGCCCAAAGGAATCATCAGGGAGACCTTTCCTGACAGTAATGGTCATGTTAGAAGAGTGCGTGTAGACACGGCCTCTTCATCTTTCATTCGTGATATCAGAAAATTATGCTTCCTAGAAGAATTGTGAAGCATGATTGTAATGGCTAAATGTTACAATATATTTAATGGGGCTTTGCTCTATATGAGCTTTATTGAGGCTATTAAGACAATTTGGCTTTTGGTCGATAAGACATATGTTTATATGTATATATATTCATTTTTGTACAATTCCACCAATTTGTGGAGTGATGTTTCATGAGTTTCGTTGATTACTAGTTATGTTTTATGTGATTTATTGATCGTTTTGTTTTGAAATAACTTTCCACAGTCCCGGTCAAGTTATTGGGGGCGGTATGTAACGATCAATCTTTCCCTTTTTAAATCATAATATTGTTATGGGTCATTTAACACCTATCATGACGTCACATAGATGTCACGTGACAAGAGCCCGCGTTTGACCGACTCAGACTCAAGGTCAGCCCGTTGTTTCAGGTTGCGCTTTGCATTTGGCAGCGCCGTTTTAGCTTAGAATATTTAGGTTTCCGACTTTGCTTTACTGCGGTATAGGTCCATTGATTAGTTAGTGAGCGGCACATTTATTTAGTTTATTGTTAATCAAGCATGTTTGTCCTACAGATGTAGACTTGTAGTTGGTAGCCCAAAAAATTCTTTAAATATACGGTATACGGCACACGGAATTAGAATATAATTTACAGCACATCGTATTATCTTTCGTCACTCAATAAAAGAACTGGATTAATTGGTTTCAAATAAATTTAACACATTGCAAGTTGGTGGCAATCATATTGGACGAAGGAATTTAGGAATACAGCCAGCTATATAGTCTACAGGCCGGCCATCTCGGTCGGGACGTATTTGTCGCCTTCAAATATCATCAGGTTAAAGGGCGTCACTTACAGGAAGAGGTGAAATATCCACACGAATTATATTGCAATTTGAAAGTTTTTTAAATTCAACGCTATGCTTTCATAAAATGAACAAATAACAGCTTATAAATAACTCCTTAAATACCTTTGCTCTTCTGTGGTGGAACTTGTACACATGTCATTCCATAAACATTGTCATTCGCTGGGAAAGTGTTGTTTCTGTCCGGATTTGGGTTATCTGGAGTGTCACAGTAGAATTCTGTCTCGACAGTAGACATGTTGGCAGCTCAATCGGTTCTCCGAAACGACTCTTACCAAGTGTTCGACAATAAAAGTCTTATGCAAGGCATATAGGTGGTTTATTATGACTTAGTTTTGTGATGATTAGATAAATTTGCGTGGTGTAGTCTTATGATCATATATAACAGGCTTTGAATAAAAAACAGTTTGTCATGAGTGACGTCAGTTCCTTAGACGATTAACACAAACGTTCATATATTCAATTGCTCATTTCCCACTGTGATTACCTGAGTGCATACCATTACTGATCTTGAAATAATATTATTGCTGACTATATGGTTATTAAGCCGTCAGTGAGAGACAGTGTCGACGAGAGCTGTGTCATCAATCATTCTAGATGTTGTTTGGAATCGGTCACTCACCGCATGATCGATTAAAATGCATTAAATTTAAATATATCCAATATGCACAGTTTTAATTGGATTCCTAATCGATGACTAACTCATTAAAACGTTGAGAATAATGAACGCAGTTAGTCCTTGTTTATTTCCACCTAGATATGCTGGTTAAAAGGCATGAAGTACATATTAACAAAATTTTATTTAAAAGCAGAATCTTTTTTCGCGTGAGTGCGCTGCAAGTTTTCCCTGATAATTTAGTCTAATGAAACACAAACAAAAGGTTTGGGAACTCTGGCCTAGTACATAAAGCTTTTGAATAGCCAGGCCTCTTGGTCATGATTAGGGCTGGGCATTTTCGAATACCCGATGATTTCAGAATGGAATATTTTTTTCGAATGGAATCTCAAATACATGGGAGATATATAATTGTATTCGACTTTTTTAATGTAATTGATTCGTGCAACAAATAATTTACTGAAACATAGAATGTTCGCTGAGCGTTAATACACAATGAGTAACACGTTTTATCAATAACACATTACCGAAAATAGTTATATGTTCGAGTTGCGTTGAAAAAATATGGCGTCAATAAAAAAATGAGGAATTCACCTCGATCATTGGCGAAAAAAAAAAGATTGCGGCGATTCGAAATTTTGCTCTGAACCGATTCGAATAATTTACTATTCGATTCGAATATTCTATTCAAAATGCCCAGCCCTAGTCATGATATGGCGCGATAAATTCTTCATTCAGTAATAAACAGGTTTAATCACTGACTACAAAGTTACAAAAATGGTCCGCCCTGGTCACTGGTGTAGTCAATGATTTCAATGTAGGCCAACAAGTACATCTTCGAACGATATACACGTATTATATATCCTTATTATATTTTGAGTCATTGTTTGATATTGTAGTCATATCGGTTATTGAAATCTTTCCAAAACGACGAATGAGCAAACAAAACAAGAAAAATCATCTCAGACAAGACTGGAATCGGCTAATTTATTACACAAAATGGAGAGACAATTTTCAAATTGAAGTTGCGTAAACTCAGGGTGAAGATCAAAAACCTCACTTAACTTACGTAGGGATTTAGAGTAAGGCTGGGAAAAATATTCGAATGACGAATAGAGAATCGAATACTAATTATTCGAATGACATTTTTTATTCGAATATCTGGTAACACGTGACCTGCGTCACTTCGCCGGTACATCAAATGTGTGGATTGGCACACGATACTCGTCCATCGCTGAATCGAATGCGTAGGTTACACACGGCACTCGCCGATGTCATACGCACGCTCGAGAATTTGCGCTATCGATTAGTAGAGAGAGTCGCCTTAATTGAGTTAGACATCCAATTGAACGCGGCAAAGCACCCTTTGGGCTGGAGAAGTGCCTCTTACCGAGCTAAAGCGCATTGCGCGGGTAATCTTGATACGGTATTCAGTTCAACGATGGGGAGAAAATCTTAGGTGTTGAAGCATTTCAGCGGGCCCAGGCCTGGTGGTTGCGGTCGAAAAACTGCTTATAAATGGAGCAAGAGGAATTTTGCCTATCATGGTAGCACCTCGAAATTATTAAACTACCGCAAAGTGAAACACCGATCAATAAATTTAACTGTAAAATGCAGATTCTGACGCCGGTACCCGAGAGTATCCGAGCTCCTCGGCCGTTAGTGGTTCAAGGCCAAAATCAGACAAAATTAGATTTTTCTCGAATGACAGGAGAAAATCAGAGAAATTATAACCAACGTTAATGCGGGGGACATGAGGCCCATCTCTGTCGTTGAAGATGAGCACTTCTGTAACCTAGTAACCTATCTTGAACCACATTATGAAATGCCATCCCAATTCCCGATCCACATTCAGCAGACGAAATTTGAACAGAGTAAAATATTTCACGAAAACAGCTAATCGAAGTCTGGTACTTATCAATGACATAAGACGCATGGGCTAGCGAAACATGGAGTCATTTTACAAAGTGACTGGTTATTATATAGACTCCACATTTCAACTATGTGCATGCGTTCTCGGAGTTAGACCACTGAATGAGAGGCACACTGGTGAAAATATCGTGTTGAGTGGAGAAGAAAATTTTGCAAGATATCCGAATCCATCCATTGTTGTTGGAGCTGTCAGTGACAATGGATCGGACATGAAAGCTTCGAACAGATTGGCTGCAATGAGATACGTTTTTGCGCTCACTCTTTGCACTTATGCCTGAATCGAGGCTTTCATTTGTCTGCCATTCAGCGAACGCTTGCGGCTGCAAGAAGTTTAGTTCAACATTTTAAGCGGTGTGAACTTGCTACATGATCACTAAAAAAGAAATGCGAAAGCATGCAATTTTTATTCAAATAGCTGGTAACTGACGTCAGTACCAGGTGGAATACACATTCTTCATTGTTTTGCGTCTGACAGAAATACAGCGGCCTGTAATGGCGGTACAAAATGGCGAGAATACAGCGAGACTGAGTACGGCCAAACTATTGCCCCAAAAACCAGTAATTGGGAGATCATGTGGAAGCTCGCTCCCGTTTTAAAACCATTAGCTGAAGTCAATGACTTTTTAGGGGGAGAACAACACCAGTAGGAACGGTTCGTAACTGGTTGTATATATTTATTATGAATCGTAATTGATTCATTTCGGAGCATCTTCACTATACCGTGTTTCCCCGAAAATAAGACCTAGCCTGAATTTTGAAAATGAATTTGATATAAGCCCTCCCCCTAAAATAAGATCTTGTCAATTACGCGAATTTTTTATTTATTCAGTCGATAGCAAGAAATCTCTCCTACACGTTTTAAATGATTGATAATATATGTTTTGCAGTTATTTTGAATGAAAATGTGCTATTTATAAGTAAAGGAATATCTGTATTCATATTCTGTATATTTGAAAATCTTGTAATTTTCTACTTTGTAATTTTGGAAGCATCTTGAAAACATTTCTCTTGAGGCCGTCGTGAATACCCAACATCTGATATATTTTGATATGGTAGGAAGCAAAACTATTAATAAAGCTGACGAGAAAACCATTTAGGTTAAGACAACAGGCCACGAGAAACAACGTTTCACAGTAGTTCTATCGTGCTTTGCCGATGGGACATAATTGCCGCCTATGGTAAGTTTCAAGAGAAAGACCTTTCCAAAAAAACAAGAATTCCCGAATGGAGTGATCCACATTCAAGAAAACGGATGGATGGATCACGGGGGGTGTATAAGATGGATCAATGAAGTGTGGGCGCGTCGTCCTGGTGGACTCCTTAATTCAAGATCCCTACTTGTGTGAGACATGTTTAAATCACATCTCTGTGGAAATGTAAAAAAAAGCAGTTAGACCAGTGGTTCCCAACTTTTTTTCTCGCAGCGCCCCCTTCGGCAACTCTTTGACTACCAAACGCCCAGACAAAAAAAAGTCAAAACAACTTTATTCTCCATTTATCATTATTATAATGTGAGGGTTGAGCCTTGTGAAATGCCACCATCTTATTAATATCTGGCTTCATTTTAGTCCGAAACAGTCTTGAGTCCTCGTCTTAAATTGTCGAGGAAATTT